AGGTAATTACCGCCCAAGAGCAGAGCAGAAGCTGTCATATTGCTCTCTGCGAGCTGAGGAAACGTCAACCTTTAGAAAATCCGCTAACAAAAGTGCTAAAATTTGGAAAAGCGTGGTTATGTGGGTGTGGAGGGACAATTCTTGAGATAGGGAAATATAATGAAAAGCAGGAATCCACCGATGTGGCTGATTAATGACGGCCGCGAAGGTAACTAATTAACTTAAGAGATGTGCCTAATGACCATCCAACCCTCCCCCTCGAGCCGTGAATAATATTAATTATTATCCCATTAGCCGATTTTAGTTTTCGGCCCTGCCCAAGTGTTTACGCCATCGCAATGTAAATGCATCTTTGGCCTGAAAATGTCAAGGAGCATTTACCATGCGCCACTGCAAGATCTGCTTGTGGAGCATCTGACTTCTAACCAACGCCAAGATTCCCCGTCAGCTGTCAGGGCAGCTTTTCTCCAGTAACAAGTTCCCAACTGCCAGGGGGAGGAGCTCCGCGGTCCGCCCTGTCGAGGCTAGGAGTAGGGCTGGGAAGGGCGTGGCACTGTGGCAACGTTCGTTGCAATGCATTTTTAGCCTTAATGTTTTATTTACCCAAGGAGAACTTGGCTGCATAACTTTGTTGTTTTGATTTTCAGGCTGCCACAGCCACTGAAATGAATCGGAATGAAAATCCAGCGCACCCAGCATCAAAGCAACGCATGGTCAGCAGATGTGGTGGCTGCCTCAGCTCTATAACTTTCCCCAGGCCTCCACTGCTACGGGAATCTTATATGTAACATAATTAAACATTATTTTATCCAAATGCTTTCGTGCCCAAAATACGACTTTCCACTGCGAGCCACGGCGCTGTCAATATATTTTACGAGCGCTGAACATTTCACTCAATTGTGAAACTTGGCTGAGCTCCGTGAAAATGAGTGGTAATATGTGTTAATATTAGCTACCAACTAGGGAGTGCCAGTGCTATCGCTCCTTTGCAAACATAAATTTACGCAACATGTTTGGGAAAAGAGTTGGGCAACGAGTAATTATTTGATACAAATGAATATGCACTCGACAATGATATCAGATGAAACACATTTAATCACACGGGGCAACCTGGGTACTGATATTTAGCCTTATTTTTGCGATATGATTGTACGCTTGCTAGTACAATTACTCAAAGACTGGGACTTTTTGAAAATAAAACGTGGAATGTCATTTCGTGTCTTTAAGCAATTGCTAGTCCCAGGCAAAATGTTATAGGAATTCAGAATTTCTCTATTTAGGTCATATGACCTAATCCAATGAAGGGGTGTTTATCTCGAAAGTATGACAAGGCGGGCAGAAGGCTCGTCACGTTCCTTCAAAAAATTGAGTGTTCCCTCTGTAGTTGATAGGCCGTCGGATTCAACGGTCACTAGCGAAAATTCATTGTAGTCATCATTGTTTGCAAGGCATATGTGTGAATAATCATTTCGCGGACCCTTGCCCCTGATTAGGCTGTATTTATTTCTCGCGAGAACCTGTTTGTAGTACGCTTATTTTTGTGGGATTTTGTTTTATATTTTTAAGTCTTCAATTCGATTTGAGTAGTTTAATCTTCGAAGTTAGTATTCGCTTTACAGTCATATTTAAGTTTTTCTTTAACCTATCATAAGTTCAAATAATACCAAAATGGGCACTTATTATATCACAACGAAGGATTTCCCTGTTGATACCCGTCGTCCATAAATGGAGCGGCGGCACTCCAAAATCCAATTGGAATGTCGTTCGGAGAGGAATCTGGCGGCGAAGCCTGCGCTGACGGCCAGTTTTTTGTTCAGTTCATGGCGTAACGGAGCGACTCACATCTTATGTGCAGAAGGAGTCGTCACAACGCTTGATTTCTTACTTGGAAGCGGTTACACATATATGTAAGAACAAACATGAGCCAGGCGTTTATTTCCGTTTCAGCAATCTCTTGATTAAGCAAACCACCAAAGCCAAAAATGCCAGAAAAACACAAGAGATAGTGACTTTTTGCATACGTTACTAAAAATAGAAGCCTGGCAGAGATTGCTGAAACATCTATCCGGAATGAGCTAGTCGAGTCGCCGGTTTGTCACACACAAACAAAATAAAATAAACCAGCCTGGGCAGACGACTCTAAGTAAATACAGGGATGCACGTGAGGGAAATCCTTAAACGGTCCGTGTCTCCATCGACCTCAACAGGTCGAGCGCAGATTACGTACGGCTGATTAACTCGGTAAACATTAACCACCCTGGTGGAGGCGAATGGAAAGTCAATAGACTCTCGGTCAAAAAGCAGGAATTGAAAAAAATAATTGGTCAGTGGGCCGCAAAATTAGAGAACATTCTGAGACAAGAGAGGGAGTAATAGAAAATGTATCAATTCTGATGATTTTCGTTTTCATTCGAAATATTTGCATTTACTTAAAAAACACATCTACATTTCTGGCACATGAAAGAGTCATTTTGGTTTTTAAAAAAATATTTTTAAAGCAATGTATTTTATTAATATTTTTTTAAAACAGAAAATGAATCATTTGTTTTTTTAAATGACTGAAAGTGAATTAGTAATCGTTATGTAGTTAGTTGTGCAGATAAGAAAATGAATATTGACCAAAACGTCAACTTATGATGAAATAATTGTGCATTAAAGGAATACAAGAAAAACAGCCTACAAATTATTTTTCCCCTTAGTTATTTGGTGTAGAGAAACTAACCCTATCAGTTCTAATAAATTCGAAATTGTGCGCCTGGAAAAACATTAAACTTCTGTAGGAATGTTTCGGTACAAACATCCTGCCATGTTACGATGGTACGGCCCGTGTATCTATGAGGAACCAACTTACTCGCCACTTGTGCTTGTTGACGAATCGGCACCCGCGTCCCCCTCCTGGACACCGCCAGCAGTGGTCGGACTGAACGCATTGCATTCCTTCGAAGAGACTTGTGTGGGCGGAGAGGGCGAGTCCTCGACGGGCAAGTACCAGGTGGTGTGGGAGCCGCGGCTGGCGTAAACATCCTCAGTGCCGTGGGGGTGCTGGGGAGTGGTTGGGTTGCGTTCCCTTTCCCGATCCCTCAGCTCCACCGACACGACGGCGGTCTCCTCGAACTCGGTGGCCGAGGCCCGCCCACTATCTGCGCCAGCTGGCCTGGTACCCTTGGCGTCCTCGGCGAAGTCCTCGGTGGCTTCGGCTGCCTCGTCGCAGTCCTGAAACACTGCAGCGCCCTCTGCCTGCGCAGCCCGGGGCAAACTTATTGTCGTTGTAGACATTTTCGCTCATGTGTTCTCGCCGTTTTGCGTAATAAACTTTGCTCGCTTTGGCTTGGTGTTATTGATTTTCGCTTATGGTTCTTATTTAGATGCGCTATTTGCGTTGTTCCGTTCCCTATGCGTTGGCACACATTTTGGCTTCTGCCCAAGCGTTCCTGAGAATGCTCGGATACACACAGATACACACGCGGACGCCCACGTCTGTTCGCTGACCGGCAAGGCGCCGTTTCTCACAACTGCATGGATTTCGTGTGTTTAATTGACACTGGGTACCGAGATCTACGCCAAACTACCTAGTTTGCACAGCTTGGAGGTGGACTTATAAAATTGAGCCAAGCAGCGGAGTTCGGTTTGCGGGGCGGAAAGAAGCGCGCACCGTTGAAAGTCAAAAGTGTATTTTTTCGATTCGCGTCTGCCCGTTTATTGTTTTTTTTTGTTCGTGCTTCAGTGTGACCATTGCGTATGCGCAACTTTTGGGCAGCCGTAAGGGAAGACGTAGGCAAACGTAAGAGCAGTCAAAACGTAGTGTCCCGAACGTAAGAGTCAGTAACGTAAGCCAACGTAGGCAAACGTAAAAGTCGGCACGTAACCAACATTGTGGCTTTAAAAAATATACGTTAGCGAAAGCCCTAATTAGGATTCTTAATATATAAATAAAAACTGTAAATTATAGACGTATAAATACTATTCGGAGTTTAGCGTGAGCGAATCAAGTTTAAAAATCTAAACTTGTAATCGAGCTGCCCAACAATATCCAACAATTTTACAAGTCGAAATTAATAAATTGCCCTTTAAGTCGTACATCGAAAAGCCTACCAAATGAAAATCCCCATACCAAATTTGGTTAATTTTTCTTTCTTTGTTTAACCCTTTTCGATTGATGTGACTACTAGGCTTTTAATTAAAGTTGAAGTAAAAATCTAAGAAAATATAAGACCTGGGGTAGTCTTTAATTTTGTTGTATTTAAAATTGAAATTTTTAAAAGTATGCAACAATTCTGGGAGCAGACCTCATTCTCAAGTACCTACGCATAATTTTAAGCATATCGCTTCTAAGTAAATCCACTGCCTTAGTATAATTTTAGCTGGACAGTTGGACTAGAGACTAATTTGCAGAAATTCCGTGACAAAAGCAATCTCTGTCAATACTGCTCGCCGCTTTTATTTAGCTATTGCTGTATGCCGGCGGCACGAACGCACGCTTCCTCACAGACAGAATCATTGCTTATTTATGGACCAAGTAAAAGGACGCAGGCCGAGAGTGGTGGGGTCGTGGGCTGGGGCAGATGGATATGGGAGGGCCGACCAAGAACGATGCTCAAATCTGTGTCTATAGCATAGTCGAGCAGTAGGTCGCTGAACTCAGCGGCACGACATGAGGGGCTGGGGCTGGGGCACAGCCGGCTGTTTATTTGTTTGACAATAAAGAGGAAGCGGAGACTTTTGTTGGTCCTTTTCACTAGGCATTTTCACTAGGACATTCGCGCTACTGCTCGGAGTTTGGCCGATAAAAACACAATTGAGAATTTAATAGCCTGCCACCCGCCTGGCAGCTGGTCACCTGAGCACCGCTCGTAAGCTGTTGACGTGGGGAGGATAATTGAACATCGATCTATTTAAGGTTAATGAGCAGTGACAGTACTGCGATGCCTCTGAGTTTACCAAGCGTCCTATGCGCTAATTGAAATATCCAAAAATAAATTACAAGAAAAGAAGAGTCTCACCCGGCAAGTTGAGGTCGCCGAAGCATCAGACTTGACAGAGACCGACTGCGTCCCATCCGGCGGCACTTGTCGTCCGCGCCCTTCCTGAAAAGGGAAAATATCATATTGATGACTATTATCCATTATTGACAGTATCCAATCTCATTCCGCTGTCGCCACTCATTTTCATTGTTATCTGTCAAGTCTAATGGTACTTGGAATCCCTGTTCTGAGCCTGCCTGCCAGAGCTTGTCAATCGCTAATGGCTTGACCAGTTGAGGCCATTAGCAGGGGCAGTGGTACTGGGTTCCAATCTGTCACTTTAGGAGTTGCAGGGCGAAAAGAACTCACCTGAGCACAATATCCTCCTCTGCCGCCACTGGGGACGCATTCTCCTCGCCGTCCAACTGCTCGATGGGCTGGCAAATGCTGGCAATACCGCTACACAAAAAGGTCCACGACGGATTGGATTTTTCTACCCCTGGCTGCTTTGGGCCGAGGACTGCGGTGTCTTCGTTAACGGTCACTGAGGTGACGTGGGGCTGGGGCTGCAAACGCTCCTGCTCAATAATAGATACGCTGGACACGGACTGGCTCTTCTTGATTTCTTCAGGAGCACTCTTCTCCTGACAGCCAGCACAGCGCGGCCAATAGTCGCAGGTATCCAGAGTCTTGCTGCAGCTTTTGGTGGTTGCCGTTGTTGGGTACTCTGGGTTTCTACTATAAAATAACACGAGATACATACATAAACCCACGCACAAAAGATTTATTTTGTAGTTCGCCCAGAACTCTTCCTCGATGAGAGGAGCTCAATGCTTTTAATCTCCGATCTAGGAAACTTGTGGTGGGACCGCTTACATCGCATATCTAATATGCCTCTATTCGTTTTAGTTTTGAGTTATGTTAGTACGTGTGCTTTTGTACGGATGTCGCCAGCCGTGAGAAATAATGTAGGGAGTAAGGCTTCTACCACCGCACAGTTCATAAATTCGGTTAGTACATAGATTAGTTAGTATGCATAAGCAGTCTCTTAAACACATGCGCACGGGTGCTTCTCTGGTCGTGTTAGTGCCTTAGGCGGTATTAAATTTGGTTCAAGTTGTGGTCTTCGGCTTTTGCTTAGTTTCGGGTTAATTTCGAGGAGTATGTTATTATACAGTTAGCAGGCTTTCTCGCCTAGGATGATGAATGCGTCGACGCTATGGATGTTTAGTACCTGCTGCTACGCGGCTGGGTGGCCGGCTGCCGGTAAATGTAGTCGCCACCCACTCCGACAGCAACCTCAAGGTTAAGGTCGTCCCGTGACCCCGGGCTTTGGCGGAGGGAGCGCTGCGGCTTCAGGACAGTGGTCGGGTGCTCGTAGATTCGCGTCTCGTTGCTCATAAAGTTGAGCTCGCTGTTGCCCCCCGAGTTGATGGTCTCCCGATTCCGCAACATTACTGGCAGTTCGTAGTCACCGCTTTCTCCGCGGCGAAAGTTCATGATCGGCGACTTTCGCAGCATTTCGTAGGTTAGCTCGTGGTCGCACAGACGCGTCCCGTAGCTCTGAGGGCTACCCGATTGTCTTGTCGGCTGGTGGAGATTGTTAGACGAGGATCCCGATGACTGTGGCGATCGTGACGCTTCCATTCCAGATGAGTTAACGGGGGAATTGGACTTGCGTAGACGGGACGAAGATGTGGAGGCCATGGACGCGTGTCCTGAATCGGTGGCAGGCTGAAGGAAACGCAAACCGCTTACGCTTCCGTTGCTGCCGTTGTTGTTGTTAAGCACAGCTTCGCGAAAGTCTTCGTCGAAGGAGCGGGACTCCCGCTCCACGCGCAGATTCTGATTGCTTCCGCTGTCTCCTCCGCTGCCACTTGTGTGAGCGGTCCGTGTGGATACCTTCGCCCCTCCGCTGCGATTGTAGTTGTTGTAGTCAAAGTCGAAGGAGCGCGCCTTGTCCGCCTCGGTTTGTCGACCTCTCACCGAGTTGGTGGGTGGCGCAGACGGATTGACATGGATCTTGGCTCCTGCTGGAGAGGCTCGGATAGTGGGAGGGAAGACGGCTCCACTTGTCAAGCGGGCCTGCTGGTAGGTAGCTCCGGCCGCCTGCTGCTGGGCGGTCACAGCACCAACATTAACGATCGATTTGTGGGTCCGATTCGGAGAGCGTTCGGTTAGTTGCAACGATCTGTAAGAAAAGTGTTGGTTGAAGGCACATTTGGTATAGTGGAAGGGAAATAGTTTGAAAGTGTTATGAACTATGTGCAATATTATAAAAGGTTATATTTATTATCTTCTATTTATCTTCTTTGGATGCCAAGGTTACCTTTCTTCATTGGTTAATAGGCATATTCAAATCAGATTATAGTTATGTTTTTTACACTTTATATTCGCTGAATGTCTAAATGTTTGGAAACATGCCCAGTAGGTCTGGTATAAATGCTTAACAGTTGTATTTACCCACCTCGAACGTCGGATCCGGTGTTCCTGCTCCGCCTGCTTAACGGCCATTGCACGTCGATGGCTAGTGGAGCCACTTCCGGGAACGGCAACCGATGCTGTTACGGTCGAGTTGGCTGCATTGGGGGCCTTTGGCTCATGGGATTCGCCGCCACTGTAGCTAGAGCTTGAGGAGCTTCGCGATATGTTGGGAGGCGTTTTATCCTCGTGACGCTGGCGAGCCTCCAAAGTGTTGCTCCTGGAATTGGAATTCTGACGAGAGCCGCTTAGGGAAAGCTGGGACCCCTTCTTGCGTCGCTCCTCAGGAGTCAGGGACCTGGACTCGGGGGTCAGCGATCTCTGCTTCCGCAGACTGCTGGACGAGCTGTGGGAATCGTTCCGATCTGGTGTAAGGGAGCGTTGACGCTGTACCTTGAATGGTGAGATGCTGACGCTGGTCGGTCCGACTTTGGGGAACTTGTGGCTGCCGGCAGAGAGAAACTCGCTCAGGCCGCCATCTTCGTTGTCCAGCTCATCATTTGAAAGATCTGTCAAATAAATTGTAATTAGACTGGGAACCACTTGGGACTTCTGGCCTCAGATGACGAGTGACAACAGAATCTTATGAGAAGTTGTGTCACATTTATTTCACATTTAACAACCCTGTGGGTGATGTGACCGTGCGATTCGCCTAATCATCAGACATTAGTCCGAATGCCTGAACCACTAAAAATAAGTGGAGCCGCCTATATGGACAGGATAGAGACACTTTATTGCCGAAGGCAAGGCGGGCTTAATAGCGGGGTCACTGAGGCGGAAGGACATGGACCAGGTGACCTTTCTCATGGGATATTTTCCCTTAAGTAATTATTACTTTCCAACTTTGGCAGACAAAAGTTAGTTATCTGTGATTAAAATGTTTCTACTGACCTGATCTCGCACCACTGTCGCAGGAATTGAGGCGCTGACTCTTGGACGTATCAAAGCTTCTAAAACGCGACACTCCCATGTTTTGAGTGTTGGGCTGTGTCGCCAGGGGTCCTGCGCTGCCCACGCGGCTGAACTGGGACTTGCGGGAACGTCCGAGGGCATGGCTCTTGGACCGCTCAGCAGTCCGTTCGTGACGGGAGCGCGGTGAGTACTTGGCTTGGCTGCCGGTGCCCACACTGTAGACGGGAGGCGCCTCCTTGACAGCAGCATTCAAGTAGGCCGTTGTCGTCTGCGGATGCAGAAATTTGGGTGAGTTGTCACGGCTGCGAAGGGACCCGCTGCTTCCACCGCCGCTTTCCCGTTTCGTCAAATAGTTGGGAGAGTTGCCGGTCAGGGTGCTGAAGTTGGGCGACCTTTCCCGCTGGCCCACCAAAACGGCCAGGTTCAGCGGACGTTCTGACAAGTTTCCGTCAAAGCTTCGGGAAAAGGTCTCTACATAGTTGTCGGTGGGCGTGGGACGGCGGTTGTCGTACTCGAAACTGCGAGAGAACACCATGCCCTTGGCGGGTGCGCTAGTGTGATGCTGAGTGCCCAACTGGGCCTGCGGCTGGAACGGCACAGGCAACGGCAGAGGACCCTGCTGGCGGACTGGCTTGCGGCGCTCCAGGTGCCGAGCACTTCGGCTGTTGTCCTGGAAAGCGGGTGGCGGCGAGAGAATCGGAGTGATGGGAGAGTCCAGATCGTTGGGGCTCCTTACCGGCAAGAAGCCTGGCCTTTCGTTAAGGATGTTCGCCAGTTGAGGATCGATGATCCGGTAGCCCGGACGGAGGGCAGGGTCCCGTGAGGAGAAGCCGCTTAGCCGCGCTTCATTTCTCTGAATTAGCTCTTCCACCTTGGAGCCGATGAACTTGGGCTCGGTCATGCTTATATTGGACTGCTGCTGCTGGTGCTGCTGGATGAACGACTGCCGGGCCAGGTCTGAGCGACGTCCATGGTCCGGAGGAATCGGCCTATCCGCAGTTCGACCGCGACCATTGTCCGGGAAGACGGATCCACCGTTCTGTTGGCCATAGCCGAGGCGGCGGTAGCCCCCAGTGGCGTCATCGTTGCTGCTCCCACGTTTTGTGTTGACCTGCACCCAGCCGGACTTGTTCAAAAATATTTCCTCCTTGTTGGTGGCGGGCGATACGGACTTTCGGCCAGGTCCGGACACACCGTGGAAATGTTCGCCGAAAAGATACGTGGGCACTCCGTTGGAGCCAGCCGTCAAATGGGTGGCGGCAGCGTTTCCATTGGCGCCGCTGCCACCTATGTGGAAGTGCATTCTGCGCGCCTCCAGCTTCTCGTTGAAGCAACGGTTGGATGCCTCGAGACTCTCGCGTCGCTTGGCGACGTACTGCTGGAAGGCGGAGAGGTGTGTCTGCTGCTCTTGCGGGTGTGGATGTTGTCGCTTCTGCTGCTGGGCGGCTGCGTTGCTTTTTGGCGCGCTTATTTCTGGCTTTTGTGACTCTGGAGTGACCGCTCGCTGTCGGGGCTTAAGAGGTTGTTGGGCTGCTGCTCCGGTCGATTCATCAACCGCGCTGCCATCCTCGATGGCTTCATGACGCTGCTGCTGTTGCTGCTGTCGATGCTTCAAGGGACTAGTGCGGGAGCGAGTGCGGCGACGCTTGGGAAGAGCGGGCAGCGGTAGAGTGCTAACGTCTAGTTTCTCAAGGGTCGAGGAGGAGAGCTCGTCGTTCTGGGACTCTCGGGTAATGGAATCGCGTGTCAGGTGACTATCGTCCGATTGAGCCTCGCTGGAATCGAGGCAGGCGTAGTCCTGGCGTGTCAGTGCTCTTGAGTGCGTTGGATTCTCCTTGGCTGTCGCACAAGCAGGTACATTGGGTGTCTGATTACTGTAAGAAAGGTGCGCGTAGAGGTTTATCAGTTTCACATACCATCATTATTCGCCACAAACTGTTCCGTAGCAATAGGTAACCAAGTGTTGCGAGTGGACTGACTTAGAACCCTTATCCGATCGAGCGGTAATGCCCTGCTCAGTGCATTCTGCCCGCCGGGCCTAATGGCTAGGACAAACGAGCCAGGCCGAGTGCGCTGTTCGAACAACGGTTCAATGTCCGGGAACATGGTTCAGCACTCGCCTGAACTCGTTGACATCTGCAACGCTACCGATGCAGCAGTAAACGCTGGCACTGCAGTCTGGGCTCTTTCACCGGCTGTAAGTGCTTTGCCTTGTTGCTGCCACTGCTGGTGGCTGACAACGAAGCGTTTTGCAGGGCGAGGCTGGTGGAAATTAACCCAAGTACTGACACTTTCTAAGAGCTGCGTGCACAGGCAGTGGCAAAAATGAAACTAGCCAAAGCCAGAATTTTGGTAACCCAGCTCTAAGGCGTTCGCGATGGTCCAGATCTACTGAAAAGCTGTCTAGATGTATCTTACTTGACCCTGAACTGAACAGTAAGTGGGAGAAAATGTTGCTAAACCAGTTGGAAAATCAGACGCGGAGAACACGCACATATGTAAATACAAATTTATGGCACATTCACCCACCGGGAAAGTAAGAAGGTGGTTCTTTGTGTGCTGAAAATCCTGTTCCTTTTAGCAGAAAGTGTTGGAAATCCTGTTTCTTTCAGCAGGCGACGGTGTAGGGAAAATGTAAATTCCCAAGGAAAACCACATAGAAACCTCATTCCCCCCTTACTTTTTGTGTCACCCCCGTGTATTTTGAAACCAGAGACGGAAGAAATGTAAGGGGTGAATGAGGTTTTGTCCCTTCCGCTTGTATGGAGAAACCTCTTGAAAATATGTTATTTTCCAGAGGAATGTTCCCGCTGGGCATAAGACGTGTGCTGCGATTGCAAGGTGCATGGTGGGTGTCACCCAATGACGATAAGCTGCACAGCTTGACTTCAAATTAGGGTGACTAGTCTATCCAACATATGAGAAAGTGTCAGTGACAGTTCCCTGATTAGGACAGCGAGCGACAGCCTGCATCCCTACACGTCACACGAGACACTAATAAAACGGGATGCGGACACAGGCTTTTTCCAAGAAACGGCTTTGAACGGGCATTTCCGGAAGGGACTTTGTATATGAGACTTGTGCCAATAAGTGTATCCCTCAAGCTCTGACAGCTTTCGCCGGCATTTCACTTCCTCTTTTATGGTTGGCTGGCGATGACAACGCATCTTTGATGCTGTGTTAGAATTTTTAAGTGGCTTAGATGCCACATAGGCCGGAATACACTAAGGCGAAGATGCGCACAACTCGAGAGGCTCAGAAGGCAAATCCAAAGAAATCGGTTCAGCCCCAACGCTCCAATTTTGGCATACGAATATAATCACTTAAAAACTTGTCATTCCAAAACGGTCACCAGCCAACAACCAACAACCATTTAAAACTTCGGTTCGTTGCCTCAGGCTGTCAAGTTTTCTTGGTTGTGTAGGCGTTATAGCGCCTAGTTCAAATTTGGAGCCGCTGGTATTCGTCGAATGCGAATCGAGAGAGTCGCTAAGCATTGAGTTCTTCTGGTTAGTCTAGCAATCAAATATTTGGTTAGATACCATCTAATGTCCGCCTATATTGGATTTAAAGACCCACGTCTTTTGCTTGACCAACAACCTTCTTTTAATGAAATGTATTGTGTCTGCATGAAGCCCTTCATAATAAAGACATTTTTGTGTATATTACTTTTAAACTATGTATGTTAAATATCTGAGAAAAGAAAACATTTTACATGTATATCTATAAAATATGTAGGTATGAACTAGGTTGAGTACTCAAAAGTACCTGGCTGTCCCTTATTAGGTAATGTTCTGAAGTCTTTCAGTGCGTGGGCAATACATATGACAGCCCACGAACTTTTTTTCTATACCTTAATCAATTTGCTCCATTATTTATTCCATTACAAAATTCAATCCATCAGAATGTACAGGAAAAAAACCTTGAATGAATGTTTTATTATAAAGCATTTTTAAGAAAACCTCTTCACCTTAAAATATTTCATACAGCTTTTTATGAAATTGCCAATATGTAAAGTAAAAGGACATTGCATGCATTCGAGTAAACAGGAAGTGGGAGCACTCAATCTGAGTGCCCGCAATGTACCGCTAATTACATCTCCGCACACACACACAAACACATGTTCCGGGACGAGTTTTTATTTCTGCTTGCTTTTAGGCTCCCATTTCTCCATGCTACACTCATAATTTTGCCATTTAATATTCATAGAGGCATGTCTGCGAGTGTGTCTTTAATTTCCAATTAGTTTAACGACCACGCTTTCATTATATCGTGATCCAAACTAATCAGACTTTTTATAAATTATCGTAATTTTTTGACCTATGCTCAAATGCCATTTATTGCAGACCAATTTTAGGTTAGCATTGAATTCTATTCTCTAAGTCAGTTGTACACTTTTACCTTAGTGATTTAAGCTAAATCATAAGAGCGGCAATGGACTTGATCAGTGAAAGTTAAGTGAACGAAAGCAATTACGACTAACAATCCACCAGAGTGAACAAAGAATTTTCCATACTTTCTTATCAAATGAATCATGATTTGAAGAAAGCTTTCCAATTCCCCTATACTAATACCAATGCCTTTGTCTTTGCATTTTTTTAATTCTCGAAGAGACCGAAAGTTTCCACTAAAAAATGTTTGCGCATTTCTTCAACAAAACTCGCTGTCTATTGAGCGGCAATGATTGCCGGTTTGGATATCGTAAATAAAACACAAAACAGTGAGCTTGCATCTGCGGCATGCATCATAAAACTGGTTTTCAATCATGTTAGGCTGCACTTGTCTTCAGCAGTGCAGAGCAGGACGAGGCCGAGGACGGGTACTAGCAAATCGATTGCATTATCTCGCATACCTGTTAGTCAACTTGCACTTTCGACTGCGTCCAGAGCCAACTAGCCATTTTACTAGCTCAGAAGCAGCTTCTTCGACGCTTCACGATGTGGTAACGTTGGCTAAGCTGCAGCGGCATTGACTAAAGCCAATGACCAAATGAAGTTGCGGCCGTAGGAAACGAGTTTCACATTTTCTATACCATATTTGCGAGCCCCTTGTTCGTAATGATCAGCCTCATAATTATCGAATGGGTAGGCTGCATGCAATTTGCAGCAGTTCAATTGCAAAATGCCAACAAACTTTTTTATTTTCGGTGGAGGGTTTTGAAGGTCGTCCCCAATTTCGCAAAATGCTGGCCCAAAATGTAGCAGTACGAGACGAGAGCGGCGGTTTCTGATTTGTCGTTGGCCCTGGTTGGCTTCCCTCGCCTTTCTTGCACTGCATTGCAAGTTGAACTTGTTTTCAATTAGCAGCGCTTTAAATTCACCCGTTTGATTGAAACTTTACCTACAACCTGGGCTGGAAACGAGTCATGGGGTGCTGACTCGGTATATAAAGTATTTATCCGACAAAATAGCACGTGAAAAATACGTTGTGTACTTAACAAATGTATTGTAGCTCACACAAGAGGCTGCAACGTCAGGATGACATGAAATTATTATTTTCTCCGTTTTCCAGCTACAAACAATTCAGAAAATTGCGGTTGTGCGGGTGTGTACAAATAAGTATATGTGTGAATGATTGAATACCAACACAGCAAAAGGAAACAAAGGACAAAATTGATTTATGTAGGCCGGTCTCGTATTTAGGGCTTTCCGTGAGCACTGGCGAGGGCCAGGCAATGCTTTTTGCGAAAATTATTGATTGCCGAATTTTTATAGAAGTGAGAGATTGGGGGCATTGTTACCACAGGACGGCATATTAAACCAATCTAATAAATGTAATGTATGCCCGTACGCAGTAATTAATCAAATGATCAGATTGTGAGAAATATGATATAGATGATTACATTACAATCGGTACTTCAGTACAGTGGTGCTCTTATGTTGATTAATATCTATTCACCGTGCCCCGGATATTTACAAACAGGTGTTAATGCGCAAGGTGTGCACTAATTTGCATCGCCTGCAGGTATTATTAATATTCTATCGTCCATCACTGAAACAAGGTTCTGCATCCGCGTATTGTCCTTTTGCCAGTTAAAATGTTTGAATTACACCAGCTGGTGACAGTTCACATTATCTTAAGGCCTTGGTGCCTTGAGTCACGCTCGTCGATTAATCACATCAAGAGTGGAGGGGCAGTTAACCATCCATACGGAAGGAGATCTTTAATGAGGCCGCCAGCCAGTTCTTGTTCTTAAAACCGTAAATTCAGTCCTTGGATGAACTTTATGGCACCTTCCACAGTTTAAGGCCTCTTAGATAATTATTTGGCTGGCACGCCAAGAAATACACAAATGTCGCGATTGTGGGCTCGAACTTTACTGCACTTCCGCACGAATTGGATCTAGTCACTGGGCAATCGAAGGGTCGCAAAATGCTTATCCGGTTGAAATTGCAATTGTGGGAGCAGCTGGCACTGCTTCCCCTTTTACCTCTGATGCCCAGCCGCATTAAAAATAAAGTTTCAAGGGGGAGGCTAACACAAGGTAATACCAAATGTGGCGCAAAGCAGCACTCTCAGGAGCTGCGCACACGAAGGCCCTCTCGCGGAATGCAAATAGCTTCACTAGTCTAATTAACGCACTTTGAAATCGAACCATTAGTTAATGGCAATTTAAGATTTGAGTTCACTGAATGTTTAACGTTTGCTGGCCGAGGCCACTTTGATTTGGGGATCACAGGGGACATGACATATGCACACTGGACAAGGGAACCAGCCGTCCTGGCAGCACCTGCAAACAACAAGTGTTCGCCGTGCACTATTTACACTTCAGTTTCCACCTCTTGTCACAAAAAAGTTCAAGTTACTGCCACTTTAAGCTAATCATTATAGGCTGGGGCACTGAGCCCTCATCGCGTACCTGTGCGCTACCGCTGGCGTTGCGCTGTCCGTGTTGCCCGTCTTGCAACTGAGCTCCAGCTCGACTACGCTGTTGCTGGCGCTCGAGTTGCCAGCGTTGGTGGTTGTTGAGACTTCGCGAGCCACTGCGCCGGTGCGTTGCCCCTCCGAACATGTCGGACCAACATGTTGCCTGGGGGCAACGGCGTCTGCTGGAGCCTTCTTGTCGTGTTTTGTTTTGCTTGGCCTTTCGCCGTTTGCCTCCACAGTGTCCACGGCGGAGGACTCGGGCGACAGTTGGCGAGGGCGGGGACGGGGAGGGGCAGGGGAGTGACCGAGTGTGACCGAGTCCAGTTGGCTCTCCGCTTCTGCCGGGCTCTCGACCCCCCAAATGGGGGCCTCAGCTTTTTCGCTGCCATTATTGATGGCATTCCCTTCCGGTCTGCCCGCGATGGTGGATGCCTCCAGCTTCTCTGGCGGAGGGGCGGCTGGTGCGGCTGGGGCCGGGGAATCAACATCCTCGGTCGAATGCGCTACTTCGGTGTCAATTGCGGCCTTGCGATTCTCGTTAGCAATCATGTCCCCCAGTGCCCGCGTGGATGTCATGTGGGACGGACTCTGTAAAAATATCATTTAATTAAAATCTTATTCATCTTCATTGGCTCTCAATGCATTTTCGTCTTCAATGGACCTAATTCAATTATGACGACCCTACTCGACTTGACTAGCTGGACAATAATACGGACAGTTTCATTATTAACTGTTGCTCTTTTTTTCTTTAAATTTTATTTTACTTTTCTTACTTTTTTTCCCCATACGTACTGGGCAGAAGCACAAACTTGAAATATCTCAAAACCACGTGTTGAAGCTAAAAACCACGTGCTTGTTATAAGGAAAAAGTATTTCAGTATATCGGAAGTAATCTTTGAGTCTCCTAACTTAGCATAGGCATTAAATCTATTGCCAAAGGAATTGACTGCCCTTTTTAACCAACAAAAGTGACAACGCAAGGAACACACTCACCTTTTTTGAAATATCACTGGCCTCCGAGGGCAGGATACCACCTCCAGAATCCTCGCTGCGCGCATCATAAAATACGTCGTTGTCATCTGTCTCAGCTGCACTTGCATCTGGCGGACAAGTTGGGGGCTCCGGAATTTTATCAGGTTGACCACTTAACCCCTTCTTTCCAGTTTGATTCGACTTTTCTGCTGTCGTTAAATGGTTTGTTTCGCCTTCCAGGCTTCGCGATTTAGTATCGTCTCGAAGACCCTCCATATTGGCCTTCAGCTCCTGTAGGTCGGAGTAAGTAGCTGGAGAAGGCGGAGGAGGGGCCGGAATGTCTTTCCGACGTAGACTGGGACCGGGTATGTTCTGATGTGCCTTTGATCCGCTGGTACGATGGTGGCGTTTGGTCACAGGTTGAGGGAACTGTTCTTCCTCCTTGACATTTTGCTCAGCACGAGGGGCCTCTGAGCATCTAGCCTTTTGCGTCAGCTTAGGGCTTTGTGGGGCCGTCTCCACCGTGGACCTGTTGTTTCTTTTGGGAATAGTGCCCGTAGAAGACGCTACAAGTCGGTCCAACGAAGGATACTCTCTTCGGCCAGTTGGTTGACTTTTGCGCTTGCTCGGCGTGGGATCTCCTAAAAGAAATACGTCTGTTATTATTTTAAAGAAGTTGTGACTTGAATGTTTTACTCACTTGGTACGGAACTCTCTGGTAATGGTGTCTGCGCCTGCAGACTGGTTCTGGGTGCCGGCGTGGGCTTCACTCCTGCTGCCGGCCGCCCCCTGCTCAATGGAAGGGTGGTGACTACGGGCTCTTGTCTGGGTTCCTGGGAAGCGGCCCGTTTAGGACTCGTCTTGGAATTGCTGTTTATGCTGCTGCTAGGTCGTGGACCCCTCCTCGTAGATTCCAAGCTGTTGTTTCTTTGCATTTCCGACTGGTAAATACTACGTTTGACGTCGTTAACATGTTTGAAAAAGTCCTGGGCGTATTTATTCTGTTTCAAATCTAGCGGAGGTGCGTATTGCTGATGCTCCATTGGTGGTGGTGCTGTTTCCAGGCGAGGCTCTGTGGGCTCATCTTGCGCACTTGAGGGCAGTGTTCCTGCTGCGGTCTTTCGCGGAATGCCGCTGCTTCCACCTCGAGCTATGGACCCGTACACATCGTCAAAGTCTGAGCTAAAGTAGTTTGACGAACAATCGCAGTTTCGACACTCATACCGGCAGTTGTCGGAGTAGCTGCACTTGTCGGGCGCCGTAGGGGGCACTCCAGCCGCAGATCCCATTCCGATAACCCCATCTAGGCTGCAGCGCCTGCAATCGAATCCAAACCTGCTCTCCGAGCTCCCAAAGTACCGCCTCTGGCCGGAGTTCGAGTACACCGAGAAGAGACTAGAATCACTGACGCGCCCGCCATGACGGCGATGGGGATGTCGAGCGTAGCGCTGCGAGTTATCGCTGCTGCGAAGGGAGAACTCGCTGAGAATAGAGGCCTTCGAGTCGCTCTTGTATATCTGGGGGTCGTAGGGATCCACTAGTATCTGGGATCCCCCAATGGGTCGGTTGGCCGCATACATCAGCGGATGCAAGGGCTGCGTCCCACTGACGGCGTAGTAAAGGTCTCCAGTAGCCGGCTCTGCGAACACGTTTGCCTCCAGTCGTGCCATGGTATTGTACTTGTGATAGGGCAGCGAGTCGCTGGAGGAAGAGGACTTCGTGTTTAGCCGCTGTAAAGAATTCGCTCCTGCCACCGACCCTCCTCCATTCTGGTAGCCCACGATGTAGTGCTGGGGTCGTCGAGGAGGTGTGGCGTTCCCGTGCGCCGCTCCGGCAACCTGGACGGCCAGCAGACTGCCTCCCACGGCATAGTGACTTGGCAGAGGATTGCCAACAATGGGCGGCTGATACGGCCGCTGGTGCGGATGCGGATGCGGGAGGTAGTAGCCACCGTAAATCGGTTGCTGCAGCTGTTGGTGCTCACTTGGTGTGGTAGTAGCCGAGGTGGACGTAGTGGCTGACGACTGCTGGAACTGGAGTATCGGGTTATAGTCGCCTGTTATAGCCACCGGGGTCGTCTCAATTTTATACACGCCGGGATTATTGGGGTTGTACGACTGGAACTCCAATATATGGGCGGCCGGCAAGCTGACGCCGGGCCCACCATTAGACGCTGTCCGCGATTCCATAGCGATCTTCTTCTGGTGACCTTGGCTTATGTACTGTTCTTGCTGTGACTGTGCCGCCTTCGGCTTTTCACCTGGTCCGAGGTGCGCCAAGCAGTACTCGCAGTTGTCTTTGCTGCACTGCTCCATACAGATCTCGCAGTCCGCAAAGGCGTCAGTGGCACTTCCGTTTCCGTCACTGGTTGAGCTCATTCCGTGCGGCTTAACCCCACCTTGCTGTGGGTGATGGCTGTGCGACTCTTTGTCTGTTATTGCCGAGGCGACGGACATTGCAACCCCGGTAGCTGCGCCTGTGGCCAACGAGTTCACCGTGCTGGCTGTTTCCTTGAAGAAAATCTCCTCGTAGATGTTCTCTTCGCTGCGGGAATGCCGTTTCTCGGCCTTGAGCGGCGACTCTCCACCACCAGTCGTGTTTCGCTGTTTGTCCACCAGTTTTTTTGAGCTCTTCAAGCCCTCCTTGAGCAGATAGTAATTAAAGCTTTTAATTCCGATTTCGCCGCGCAGAAACCGTTTGCCAATAGCAACCTTTGCCGCCTCGGAGGCCGAATCTGCAGGTACTGTGACGGCGGAGTCCTGAGCTGAGCTGCGGGCGGAGTACCCGTCATCCAGCTCACTTACTTCCGTGGGGGCAACTTCTTGGGCGCCCTCGCTATATTTCTTCCGATTGCGTTCCTTGCGACCTCGGATATCAGCATCGTGGCCGTGCTTACCCGCAGCTCCCGCTTCCCTTTGCGGATGCGGATGACCTGGGGGCAGATGGCGACTGTTGTCCAGGCTGAGGTTCCGCTTCTGCTTCGAGCTGCGCTTCTGCGTGCCCTTCTTCTCCACTCTATCTGATGCCGTGGCGGCCAGACTGCGCTCTAGGCTGCGCACCCGGCGAGTCATGCCGCCTTTGATTGGATCCAGCGGCTCATTGTCGGTGCTGCTCGAGTCACATTCGTAATTTAAGCTGATGGCAGAGGTCCCGGAAGCTGCAGCGGTAGTGTGCTGTGCCTTGATCTTGCCCTGCTTTCCCGACGCGTACTGATGCAGCTCCTTGGTCAGCTGGTTCTTTGAAACCAGGCTGCTGGACGACGGCTGTCCGCCTGAATCGCCTCTCGCCTTGTGCTCTAATAAGGGTTTTCCAGAAATGCTACTGCGACGCATGGGATTCGCCAAGTGACTTATATCCTCGGTGTAGGCAGGATCATCGTAGATCCTTTCGCGAACTGATGTAGCTGAGCGGTCTTTTGTCTGAAAACAACAAAGTGAAAATCAGTTTTATTTGCTGCTGATTTTGAACAGATTTAAATTATTCACCTTAACTTTGTTCTTTTTCCGACTGCGGTGCGGTATCGTCACATCCGTCAGTTTCAGTAGCTTTGGCCGCAATGACCGCTTAGACACCTTCCCTCGCTCATATGTCAAGTCCGAATAGGTTTCAGTGGTCATCGTTTAAAGGCTTCGCACAAAACTACGAAATTGGCTGCGATTGAGAAGTTAACTTTAGATGAAACGTGCAGTTGTTGATAAAGCTAATATTTTTTCACAGCTCCGTTCCCCGATACAGGGATAGGGGCTTCAGGAAGCTTAGAATGCAGACAAATTTTTTGGATTAGATAGTATTTTTCTTAATTTCAGATTCGTTTTCGCAGTCTATGAATACCTTCGGACTCAACAACTTTATTATTTTCGTTTGGCTTAGTGGGCGAAGCCCTGAAAATGTTCCGGTTATCCAGTTATTGCACAAAATAATGTGCTGTTATTATTAAGTTACTTTACGCTGTCAGCGAAAGCACTCCCATTTTAGGGTGTGGCTGTGAAGGATGCGTAGTCAATGCATTAAATCTAAATCTTCCTCTCGGCTAATTCGACATAGGTTTTGAGGCAAACATATGCATACATGCAGAAGTACTTTGGTACGCAAAAGGAAAATTCTGTGCGGGTTGGGTGGGGTTGTTTGGATTTCACTAGTTAAAACCTGCATACGCACCTGCTCAAAAGTTGTGGCAAAAATACAGGATCGCGGAAATATTGAAACACTTTTTGCGAGTAAAGTTTCGATTGGCGTTGGCATATCTACATTATGCGAGTCAGAAAGTAATGGAAATCCTTTGGGCAATCACTCGCGGAAGTATTCATTAAATGGTTTATCTGGTACATTCGCAATATTTTGTTACTTATACACAATCGCAACGATTTATCCTTGTATACACACACAGTCATGCGTTTTGTAGTATCTTCCAAGGGCCCTATTGTATGCAGTGGCACTACATCCGTACAACTGAGACGACGGCACGCGATATTCAAACGTTCCGTCCGTTACGTGAAAACCCAACTGAATTGTCTGCGCTCGCGATTCCAGCAGCTCGTGCTCGTGAATGAGAATGTTGCTTTCCTTTCAGTTGCCGTTCCCCCACGCCAGGATTGCTCCAACAAACGGCTCACAAGGATGCTGAGCCTCCCTTTGGAGGATGCCGAATCCGAGGGAGAGAGAACCAGGCAACCTGTCAAACAAGCCCGACGCCTGCGCCCTGATTAGCCTGATTTTGACGTTTCCACGCATATCCGCAGTATACTTTCACCGCCACAATTGCATTGGACTATGAGCACTCGGTCTGTTCCTCAACATGTTCCTTTAAAGATTTTTACTTGCTGAGGCCACGCACGGTAATATCCTTATGAAATCTTACATGAGGTATTTTGAAACGAAAGGATCAAGTTTTCATATTGACTCAAAGCTATAGTTGGCGGTTACCATTTAAAAACATTAGGCAATGTTTTGTTTGTGGCGACTAAATGCTTCACGCTTCCCCTAACGATACTGCGCATGACTCACCTAGTGGTGTGAAGTGCGTAATTGTTGATTGTGGAAACAGTCCTACTCCTATATGGAGTGTGTGTAGGAGTTACCTTCAAGAAGTACCCGATTCACTTTATTCTAGCACGTGTTCACACACACCGTCACATGACAGCAACATGTTGTGAGGTTGTACGGTACGGTATGAGCTTGAGTGGTCGTCCTCGTCGTGGCTGAATATTCCTGAAGTCCTGTATTTATATTGCATATTGGCACAATATTTTTCATGACAACCTCAGAGTATGTATGCGCTGACTGATAGGGTTTAGCAAACAAAAACAGACTGCCATCAGACTGGCATAGACACAGTTTATTCTTGGCTATTTTAAATAATTATTATATATCGAATAAATTTCCATTTCTTGTGAATATGACCAGACTATTTTGGAAACAAACTGAGAAAATAAATGGGTCCAGGGGTTTTGCATGTAACTCAAATCTGTCACTGTCACCGGCAGATAGAAACACCGACAAATGAACACGAAGAGGATACGCCAAATAATTCACAGTCTGGTATGGGGGGCGTATGCTATGTTGGAATACAATACATCAATCTACAACCATTGCAGTGAACATGTGCGAGATGGTGATAATTGAGCTTGTTTCACTAGGCCCCGAAAGAAGCTAACAGCTGCAGCCATTCAATTTAGAATATCATAGAATGAAATAAAGAGGTGTGTATATCCTCGTGCACACAATCTGCGAATCAAGACAGCTCGTTATATGTACTCGTAAAAAGAAATTAACATATCGATATCACGCATGTACTCGTCTTGTGATTCTGACCATGAATGTATGTATATACTACATAGGTTCGAAAACTCTTTCTTCTCCCTGTTACACATTTTCCAACGAATACAATATAGATCATCGAATATAGAATTCGATCACGCACTGCATCGTTAACCAATCAAAATAAAAATGATTCTTGTATTTTAACGTATTTTCTAAGGTTTTTTTTAAATACTTGAGGGAATTACAAAAAGTCAAAAGACACATCAAAACCACAACTATGTTAATGCTTTATGAATCCACGGGTCCATTTCTTGACAACCGGCTTGGACTTGCTATTCCTTTCCAGCTCATCGGCCTGCATTTGCTCACTGAGCTTTCGCTGATTTTCTCGGAACTGAGATATGGAGTCACTAAACTGATTGTAGTACTGCAGCACCTCTCGAACATCATCTATTTCACTTGTGCCCAGAACACTAAGGAACGAGGCGAGATCATAGAGGGTGGTGTCATTGTCGTTTCCAGTCCACCGTGGGATTGAGAAAGAATTTGAGGGGTGAAACTTGGTGGAGTTTTTATCCCAGTCCACGACCACCACCCGCTTTAGATCTCGGTTCAGGTTGTCAAGATTCTTTACGTGATGGCCCCCAACAAAGTGTGTGGAGTCGCGAACCAGGCGATACATAATAAAGCCGTTTGGATCAAGGGCGTCGAGCAGCGGAAACACCGTAATTCCCTGCTCCGCCGTGTAAACAACGATCTCAAAATACTTAGCGCATTCCTTCAAAAATACGTCAACGCCGGGACGCTTCTTGAAGCGCCAACCCGTCTCGTAAGTCCAGTCGGGATGTATCAACACGTCCTTGATCTCAAGTACCAGGGTATATGCCGGCTGCACATAAGGAGCCTGAAGGGGGTCGGGAAGTAGCTTCTGACTCGACGGCTCTTGAATAAATCGTTGGAAGTGGTTCACCGACTTCCACGTTCGAGCCATATACTGCTTCGTTAGTGGCAACTTACTGAACTCGTCTATAACTTCGTTTCCCTGGTCATCCAGCGATGGCTTCCCAAAGTAGTATACGGCCCAAAACGAGAACAGTAATCCTCCGATACCAAAAAGTCCAAAGCCAAGTTTCATCCGCTTCCAAGCCCGCTCCATTTCCCTCATCTCCTCCTCCTCCTCTCGCTTGCGCCGCTCTCGACTCTCCTCGTCGTTGGGCTCTGCAGAGGTTTGGGGAAAGAGTTTTGATAGGATTTGCGTAGATGTCTTCTCATAGGTCGAGTAGCGACGGCGGGCAACGTATAGCAAGGACGTATTGCAGCGGTGCAGAAGGAATCCAAAGCACATGTTGCATTCTAGGTCCATCCTGTGCCGTTCACCACTTTTTGCCGGGCCATCAGTCTTCTCAATCATGGTGCGCCACAAGCCAGAGGTCAACGCCCGCGACGTGTTGATGAACTTGCGGCCAAACCGCGGCCATCCACTAAGCAGGCGTTCGACGACTCTTAACGACATTGGCAACTTGAAGATTTAACCGGCGCCGAAAATATTGATTGATTTTAGAAGGGGTTTTTATCTTCAATAATTAGCCACTATAAAATTTGACATCTTTGTATTAACCAGCCGAGGGACAGTATATTTTTTTCTTCTGTGTGAATTATTTTAATGAAATTTTGTCACAGACAGCCGATTGGGCGGATATTTTTCGACTGCAAATATATGTCAAGTAAGCCCAAGGCCAACTAACTATTTAATCAACGCTTCGAATTCGGTAACATCTTTATTTAAGTTCACTTCTAGCAGTATTTGTTTTATTCTTCTAAAGGTTATTCGGATTTGGGGAAAAAATAGGCAGTTTAAAAAGGTTTTTTTAAGTAATTATTTCTTTTAAAGAATAATAAGAACATATCATCAAATATGACGTGGCAAATATCCTTTAGCTGATTTAAGGACCCTATTCCAATGTATGCAGCTGATGACCGCATCTGCCAGGCATTGCAAAGGCTATATTAAATTGGAAACATTTAGTAAATAAATTGCTTATAAAATGCTATAAATCTTGTTGCAGTGTTTGCATAAAATTATTAAGTTTAAACAATCATTGATCGTGAGGCGAAATGCGTCCAGCACCTGTAAATAAGCGAATAATTATTAAATAGTTTAGGCTTTATATCTACTGCTCTTACCCTTGTCCTTCTGTTTCCGTTCTTTTGTGCCACGATTCTGGCCATGTTGTTTTCCTCCTCCAGCATTGCCATTCGCCTTGCATTTCTTGCTGACGGTGCGCACAGGATTGCAGTTTTGGTCACTGCCGCCAATCGCCTCATTTTGTAACTTATCCTCCCTGGTCATTTGTCCAGCTGTACATGGCGACCATGTACCCTTGTCATAACGGCAGCCTACGCAAAAATAAACATTTTTTAAATATATATCACTGACACTGCTACGCGTTACATGACAACACTCCTCTATCACCCAGACAGACTTGCTTCCACACTATCCAGAACTATAAACAGAAGAAGACTAAAAAGATTGTTTTATTGCTCTAAATATATATATTCATTTTCGTTTATTAGATTTACTTGGAAAAGGAGTTCTGCATTCTTGTAATGAACGAGTCACTCACTCTATTGTTAGGAGCAGGAAATGCAGTATTTATAAAAAAAATAGTATAAAACGTTGGTCAGGAAACCCCGCACTTTTTGATGCAGTAAAACTGGGAGCACTGCCAAGAAGGAAGGCGTAGTTCGAAGGTACAGATGATGCATATATATATAGGTCAACACTTGATTTAATTGGAGCCTTTGGGCTTATTTAGACGGCAATGTCACCAACGATCTGGTATATAATTATTCTAAAGCTAGAATGCTTGTTTCCTCTCTGAATATGGATGCAGTGGATGATTATTTAATGTGAATATTAAAGGCACTCACCTTTCTTGCACTTCTTTTGTATAGTCCGTGTTGGCAAGCAGTTTTGCTCTCCCTTCCTTAGAGATAAAACACGGGAGCGCGTATTTGTTTTGTCATCGCAATTGGACCAAGCGCTCTTCGCGTAACGGCAGGTCGACCCTGTCAACAATAAAACACATCAAATAGCAATTTAAAGTTATATAAATTCTGAATTAATTTGAATTCGTACCGTTCTCTGAAGTCTTTGCCTTGGGTCCCTGGGTTCTCTTCCCTGCGTGGTGTTGGCCATGTCCATGCTGCTGCTTGGGTCCCTGGCGCTGCTGCTTATCAGTGACTTTGTGGCCTTGCTTGTGCTTCGGCTGTGATGCACTGCCATTTTCGGCAACCACTAGTTTTCTTGAACCAGATTTGTGTCCTCCAACCTGCTGAGAATGCTCGTGCGACTTGTTCGGCTTCCGATTGTTTCTGGAGCGGTGAGTGTCACCATTTGTAGTGGATGTGACTGCTTCATCCTCCACAGCGCCACGAGCCGGACGAAAGTGTACTACATCACCGGAACTCCTCTCCATGACCAGACGTATGCCATCGGAAATGCTTTCGCCATCAATTGATGGCGGAATCCGTGCCAATGCCACCAAAACTAAGTGCAGAACCGTGGTCAACGTTAGTATGAGATTCATAGCTACTTTGGAAATCTAAAAACAACAAAAACGTGAACAGAAGAGAAATATAATAATAACTTAGTTCGGCTAATAAAAAACGCTGAATAGAGAAAATAAAAAAACAACTAATTTTCTGGCATCCCACCAACAAGCAAAGGTAAAGAAGATAAATCGGTAAATGCTGTCCCGAAGGGCAGTTTTTTCACTTGAAATTTCAAATGTTAAAATAATCTAGAAAGCAATGATTAGTTTTTCTAAATATAATACAACTTCAACTTCACAACAACATCACCTCGTTATAGTACTAAGGAGTTGGAAATCATATAAATACCTATACTTTATATTTTTGGTTAAGCCATGAGTTCTGAAAATTCTGAGCTGTTCGATTGGCCTTCAGGAAGATTCGATAAGAGTAAAATAGATGATGTGGGAAATGGAGATAGCGATTTTTCTGATACATCTTGGGATTGTTTCGGCGACCGCAAAAGTCTTGATTGGAGTGATATAGTTGACAGCGATCCCTATGTTGGCATTAATGTGGACAGCGAGTCATCGTCCGAAACTGGCTGCCAATGCTATCCTAGGAAGTATAATAAGTTACCTGTTGGCTGGATAGAACGCATGGCACCCAGAACTAAGGAGTGCTATTTCTATGACAAAAGTACCCGTAAGGTATATTTCACATTGCCTCCGAAGGACAGCAGAGAAGCTGAGAGAGTCGGCTGGAATGGCATTGCCGAAAACTGCTGTGAATGCAATTACCGATGCACTGTTCGATGCAGCCACTTATTGGTAAAGCACAGTGAATCCGATAGATGTAGCTCGTACCGTAAACGGGTGGTGAACAGAACTAAGGAAGAAGCCCTAGGCAAAATTTCGCAAGCCCGGGATCTAATAACAACCGGCAAAATAGGGTTTGCTGAATTGGCTAGAGCGATCTCAGACTGCTGTTCCGCTCGACATGGCGGTGACCTGGGCGCCTTTAAACTTACGCAAACGTCTTATGGCTTCGAGAAAAAAGTTTTGCGCCTTGGGATGAATGAGCTCTCTGATATTTTTGAGACGACGGCTGGATATCACATTTTGTTGCGGACGCCGGTTGAAAAGGGGGATAGTGACTCCAGGAAAAATCACAGGCATTTTGAAAAATTAGACGATTTTATCGAAAAAGAGGAGTGTGAAACCCACATAAACACAAACAAATATTTTCCTAGCTATCTGAAGAAACCGGAGACCGACATATGCAATTTGCTCGGACAGGAACCTAAAATCCATGAATTGGAAAGTGAGTCCAGTGGCTCCAGTAGTGACTTATCCACAGATAGTCCATGCTTTTGCATGCCTTTTGTGTCCCAGACCTCAGCGAAGGGCAGCAATTTAAGAATGTACACTTCTCTGTCCCATCCCACAGACAAAAGTAGCAAATTCAGATTCTACATTCAACAGAAACGTACATTAAGAAGGAAAATGATTCAGGAAAAGTTTGATGAGGACATGTACCTTGGAAAGTCCTTCAAATTAATAGAAATTAATGCTCTGGGAAAGAGTGTCATTAAACTTCGAGAAATGGAAAAGATTTCTTAATCAATCAACGGAATGTAAGACACTTTATATAAACCTCTACAAGATATCTAAATGAATAAATTAAATTCAAGGAAAAGCTTTTTTAAGGAAACTAAAGGAAAAACATTGTGGATTCAAAATACAGGCCATAACAGTGTAAAACCATTTGGATTACAAAATTTCGAGAGAGAGCTAAAGTCTTTTCAGTTGAATTCCAGCTGGACATCTGGCAAGCATGTGGATTTTTAAAAGAGTGTAGTTGTTATACATATTTTCAAGAATATTCTGTTTTTGTCATAGTGCTGACATTTTAAAAAATATAATTCGATCCAACTACATTGTATCCTTCCATTTACAGTCCCATCCGAATAGGTAGCCCCACATTCCTTTGAAATCGCTAGCTCGGAAACTCTTATATGGCTGTTTCACTCAACGCGAATTCTCTCTGGCTGACAACAGGAAGGGGGTGCCTGCACACGCGCACTCGCAAAAATCACAATTCGAAACTCACACTCAAATCCTAGAGAGAAAATATCCGGGCATTTGAAAATTAGATTCAAGTTTCAGCCCGTTGTTCCACAAAATGTGAATCGAGGAAATATCTTGAGAAAATGCACTTTACTGTAAGACGGCGGCTTGCGATCGGCACGCTCGCATTCAAAGTTGTAGCTAAACTGAGTGGGCGAAACGCCACAACTCGATGAACTCGAGAGGTTCGAAAACTACTCAAACCACAGAGAGCCCGGTGAGAGCAGCAGCAAGAGTACTGAGACTTGCTTCCTTATACCATCTACGAATTTATATGCAGCGATGAAAAAAGTATTGGTCCTACATTCGTTTCAAATGCTTTATGCCGACTAAAGAGATTCAAAAGTTCAGATTTTTGAAGTATTACACCAAGTACACACCTTAGGTTTAATGCCCTCGACGTCTATTATACTCTATTTGTACATTTATTTCATTTGGTTGTTTTCATTGTTCTGATAAAGTTGTCTGGCACTGTACGATTTTTCCAATCGAGCTGCTTTTATAAATAAACAATATTATCAGTTACAAAAGCACATTCTTAGCATCTATAATGAGTGGCTTGCATACCGAATACCCGCAGAGGGCAATGGTATATTGAATGCCTACATTTGTATGTATTGATCAGGGAAAACTAAGCATTTTCGATCGTAGATGGTAGAGAAAAGCTTATATGAGTACACAGAAAAAAAAATTGATATGAAATTGCACTCAAGTTAACATTATTTCATATCAAATTTGGGCCGATATTAATTAATGCAAGATTGATATTTCGAACATATCAAGTTGATATTTTCGAGAATATCAAGTTGATATTTTTAAATATCAATTCAATCTTAAGAAAGATTAGTGTTTAAAATAACATTTGAACTTTTTGGTCATCAAAATGATATTTTTTATATCAATTTTTGTCATCAAAATTATATTTTTTATATCAATTTTGTTCATCAAAATGATATTATTTCGTGTATATTAGTACCCCCCAGTAAAACAGAAATTTTTATTTTATATTAAAACAATTTAATTCTAATCATTTCACATTTTTTTGAATCGGTGTACATATGTATAGGTGGGCCAGCAAAATCTTCAATATTTTATTATTTTAGTTTTGCCTGTGACACACACAACGTAAAACTGCGGCCGGCACACACACACACGCACATTCAGAACCGAAATGTCTTTAAATTGTGTGCTAACTCGACGGCAAAGTTAAAATCACCACAACCTCGTAATGTTTCGACTTAGCACTCAATACAAAAATAAATTGATTTCATTTGACAATAAAAACACCTTGTTCTCGAATATTTTTGGTCTCAAAGTTGGGCCAGCTGTTTTTGCAGTGCTGCACAATCTCAGTGTTGTAAACTGTGGAACACTATTTCTCCCTTTCGAACTAAATTCGAAACGACATTTGATATTTTTTCATATCAAAGTCATACGATTTCATATAAATTGTAAATATACTTGTTTTAAATACCGAATTCAGTATTTTTTTTCAAAAATTAATATGAAATAAGATCAAAATAATATTTCTTCATGTTAGAATGATATGACGAAACTTGATCCTTAAAAAAGATCAAATTAACCAACAAATATCAATTTGATATTTTGTCATATTTTTTTCTGTGTATTATTGGGCTGGGATGCCTTATTATGCAACAGGACATCCAAAATTGTCTGAAATTATAAATAGCGCTCATGGTTTTGTTGACATATCAGAGACCCACCGTTTTATGAGATTGAAGTTATTCGATATTAGACTAATTAATCAAAGCCAATGGACAGAAACCTAAAAACCGAAAATGCATACACCGCTGTTCTGCCAGTGATAAGATAAGCCATCCTTTATCTATGTGCATGGGTGCATATAAGCACACAAGTAAGCTAAATGTAAACAATGACCACGCATTGTGTAACAGATTGGAGTTCTTCGAGCAGTTTTACAATTATGTATATCAAAATACAAGTAGATACAGTTTTGAGCCAGTTTGAGTACATACGGGCATATCTCTTTCCCAGTTCCATTTTGTTTCCGAGAGCTCAGCCAAACATGTTTTGAGTGATTTCTCTGCGAGTCAGATTTAGTTTGGTTAAAAAAACAAAGAGCGGGCGCAGACAAGAAAAATGGACAAAAAGAAATATGCATGCTGGCTTAAATAACTTCAAAGGGGGCAACCCAGAAAGGTTTCGAATGTCAGATACTCCCTGAGTTATTTAAAACATAATCAATGATTTTAGACTTCTTAACCTAAACTCAATATTTTTGCAGTTTCCCCAATAATTGTGACATACAAATGCACATATGTATGGACCAGAATCACACATTTTCCACTTACGTACAACTTTTGCAAGTTCCCACCCCCAATCTGTATCCCCTTGCTCTCCACAATAAAATATTTATAAAGCAAAATATAATTCACATGCAACTCAACACTTCATTAGCCAGCATATAATGACCGCTGTCGATTGGCTATCTCCATTGCTTTATAACTTTAAAATAAGCCGGATTTAACAGTTTTTATCCCATGAAAATCGATGTGCGCATGGTCGTTTCTCAGACAAACAATGAACGCTCTTCCAAAGTGTTTAAAGCACAGCATAAAAAACTACCCGAAAGATATAAGCGGTATGGGTTCCTGTTCCTTACCACAAGCTCAATTTATTTTGCCGTCCTAAAGAGAGCATTTTTTAACCCATCGAATTCTTGTATAAAAATTATTGAATGCTTTATTTCGTAATATTTGTATTTATTAAAGTTCAGTTACTTTTTTCTTATGTTGTATACGTACGTAAACAAATTTCACTTTACTTTGGGGGAGTTGCTTCTACGCTCTTCCTTATGGAATTAAAAGACTCAGATAAATACTGCCCCTAAGGATGATGTATTTATGAATTTGCATGCTGTGAGTGAGCTGTTCTTCTTGACTTTGTAGTTATGAATGTACGGGTATGGTTGTAAAACTGCTTACAGAAAAATACATTAAGTCGTAGTTAACGTTCTAAGTTTATATATGTGTTTATTAAAAAGATAAACCATGTCTTTGAAATGGTACAATTTTTGATCAGAATATGTATGAATGTAAGTATGTTTGTCTGTATTTCGACTTGTATATTAATTTTGGGAATGGTATTTCCAAATTTATATTTTAATTGTACCCAGTGAATGTGAGTTGTAAACTACTTTAAAATGCCAATTGCCTACGTTGCAACTACGACGGATCTGTGACTTAGACCGTCGTGTCTCATTCTTTGTCTTTTTGTTTTTCTTCTTTCTATAGTAGGTTTTTATTTTTTACAATATTTACACTAAGTGTTTTATTAATTTAATATCTGCGAATGACAAACTTTTTACCATCTCTTTGATTTCTGTATTTATTTTACTTTTTTTGCAATACCATTCTGTTTTCTTGAGATGAGATACAGAAGCTGATACTTGCCAAAATGTTACACCAATATCAGATTAATTGTTTGGTTTTCGTTTTAGATTTACGGTTAATATTATTTAAATTCAATTGAAGAACAACTCTGCTAAATTTATGAAGGTGTTTAAACAGTCACACAATTTAAGAGGCTGCGTTTAAGAAATATCCTTTATTCCGATAAGGCAACTGCCTTTCATTAACCATTTCAGAGACTGATGGATGTTGGCTTGGATGTACGTATGACTTTCTTTTTGAAGTAAACTAAATAATTTGGTATTTATGTAGGTATGGTATTGTATGAATATATTTTTATTCTGCATTGCATAAATATGTTAAATTCCGCAAAGTTGCTATTACGTTTTACAGTTAAACATACTGTCGTTTATATTAAGTTTATCGTTTGCTTGAAAACCAAACTACAACATTAATCAATATGTGCATTTAATTAAAATGCTTTTTGGGTATACATAGCAGACACTTAATGTCATTACGATTTTTCTGTTATGAATTTTTTAAAAAATAAGTTCAACTTAAACTATTTGCATCGGATTGATACAAACTAACACGGGGCAATTAAATTATCGAGTATGAAATCACTTAAACGCGTCCTTTGCGAGCAGCTGCATGGAAATGAAAGACAAGATATAACGGTTGTGAACGGTTAGTAATTCTCTGAGAAATTACAAACTTTATATTTCTTTTCAATAACGTCTTGTCTATTTCTACCTTTTGGAGGCATAAATATTCAAGTACTGTGATCCTTTATTTGTTTAAATATTTTGTATTTATTTAAATAAATAATAATGACAGTTGTTCGTATGTAAGAAAGTATTTGGAGACCTAAAATTGTAAACTAGTTAACTCACCTTTATCTTTGTTCTTACGCTGTTCCTTGGCACTCTTGTCCTTGGACTTTCCGGGCTTGCAGTTCTTCTTAATGACCCGAGTTGCTTCGCAGGACGGATCACTGCTCGTTTTTAGCTTATCAGCTCTAGTCATTTGTCCAGTTGCGCATTCCGACCAGGATCCCTTTTCATACCGACAGGCTGTTGGAAAAAGAAGAAAATTAATGACTCCATGTAGGTCGCAGGCACCTTTTTTTTAAGTGATTCACTAGTTTAGGAGCACGTAAAGTCCTTAATTATTACCTTTTTTACATTTCTTCTGAATGGTTCGCGTTTGGTCGCATGCTGGATCGCCCTTCTTTAATGTCAAGGTTCTAGAACGCGTATTAGTTTTCGTATCACACTCAGTCCACGGGTTCTTGCCGTATCGGCATGACAAACCTAAAAAATGAGTAACGAAGTTAGTTATTGTATATCCTGGACCAGCCGCGCTCACAGGGAATTATGGTATTGATTGAAGCAGCCCCTGACTCACCGTCGCTCTTGGTGCCACGCTCGTTTCTTATTAACACTTCGTGATCGTCTTCCTCCCATACCTCACCGTGTATGGCAGTAGTGGGCTGGGTCTGCTCCGCCACCGGAAGTGCGAGAGGTGTTTCCTGGCCCTCTGTGGTGCCCCATACTGTGCTACACAACACCCCCGACCATGTCACAAACGATGCCAGTAAAATCGCGTTACAATTATTTCTCATGGTGTGACTTCTACTGCTGCTGCCCACTGCGAAAAAAGAAAAACCCATTCCTTAACAAAAAGGAGATTGTAGATACATATACGGGAATAGCCCCAAGAAAAATGTATGCATAATACAATAAATAATAAGGTGTGTTATGTGTGTTTTAGGTAAAAATAGATCTAAAGGTCTAATTTAAAAAAAAATTAATCGTTCACATTGCAATTGTCAAGTCCAAGTCCATTTGCTTCAGTACACACATACAGCACAATCGCATAGAGCAATGCTTTAACATTATATACATTTATAATTGGCACTGATTATACAATTAATTTAGCTCCGATTTCTATTTCCATTTTGTGAATTCATCATTTTATTCAAACTTTTCTTGCTCACAACCGATAAAATTGAGGACCAACCGTTAGTTATACACACAAAACAACTCCAGACTCAGACACAGTGCAGAATAGCTTTTTACGGCAAAACTGCTCTCGTTGCACGACTCTTCGAAACTGAATGAAATGATATAAGGACAGCAGCATAAAAGGCCACGGCATGTATAATATCCTGCAGGATTTTATGCTCATCAGGAAGCCCTTTCTCTCGTTTTTTCTCGTTTGGAGTCGCCTCCATGTCCGTTTCGGTCGTTTGTACTGAGAGAGTGCGCACCGGAGCCTGGGCTTTTATCAATGAGCTGCGCATGTTCTACACATAAATATTTTACATTCTATTTTTATCCAGGATTCTGTGTTCCTTAACAGGCTCCTCTTGGCTACTATCTAGGCAAAAATAAATGCGTCAAAGTCTGGTCGAAGACATCCAGCTTGTATGTTTCCAAGCATACATCTAGAAAACAATGTTAAAGGACTTGTACGCCAATTAGCACCTGTTCAAAAATGACGTGGCTTGCATGCCCAATATTGTTTTGTGAGGATAATCAATGAGGCCATTGGCTCATAATGGCATTGTGCCCCACCCTATTGCGATTTGTGGTCGATTGGTCGTCGTGTGTTCTTTTATGGCACACCGATGCACCGCCCACGTCTCGGCCATTTCCATGCATTTTGTACAGCTTTAAAGTCTGCAACCCCAGTAATTCTCCCTAATCGAATCTTTTTTAAAGTTTTATTTTATGGTCAACTCCGTTTTATACAATAAGCCCTTGCAAATCACCTGTTGATATAATGTCTCACCTGTCAAAAAATCAAAATATAAAAGCACGTTTAATTTGAGCCAAGGAAAAAGAGTTTCTTAGGTAGGACTGACGTAAACGTATAGAAATGTACAAAAAGGTGACAAAACGGACCTTGTGGGGGGTGAGAAATAAGGGCAGCTTTCCTCTCCTATCCCCTTAGTGGTACGGGATTGCCTCTGTTTAATTGGCACTGCAACGCCTCGTAACCAACAACCTGGGGTCAGTATGTAGGCGTTATTGAGCCCAACAGCTGTCATAAAATTTAATAATGCAAATGTAATTAAGTCACCTGACCCGGCTTCACGTGGTCAGGCTGTCGTTTTGTTCTGCAGCCGCACCTTAAACAATGAAATTGATGACGCAGCCTGGCACTTCTTTACGAAGGCCAAACAAATTTGTTTCAAATTGCTTGATTTTTGTGTTATTTTATATTACTTTTTTGCAAGCATATACCTTCCACCTATGCCTTAATGATTTGGTCAATATTTCTTAATTAGGCAAGTAACGCTACAAAAGGATTATATTAAACGAAAGCATGTTTTCAGAAAATACAGATAGCAAAATTTATAACTCGACTTACCGCTCGCGGCTTGTAAAGATTTCTAATGGAATATTTGGAATCCGCAGTTTTCGTTTAAGGCTCTTTTTCTGTTCACAAATACTGTGCTATTTTATGCCTAGCGAAAATGAACTAATTAAACAATCATTTAAGTGCATACCCGAATCTGCAATTTTATGCGAACTTTAACTAGTGGACAAATCTGGACCGACTGGATTGAATGTGAACGAAACTACGAACAAAGCCGGTGTTCCAGTCAGTTGAACAACCCCATTCATACCGAATTCCGGGAGTAAACGAACAAAAGCTTCCGGTGAAAAGTAGAGGTGAAGTTATCATTGATTCTTTGGCCAGTGGTCCGAGCTCGTTTCCATGGCAACTTTTGGGGTTCAGGAACAAGAGCGAATTAGTATGCATCAGCGCGTAGGTACCCCAGTGCTTATCAGTTGTTGGATAGCTGTTTGTGTAGGCAGCCAAATTCGGTTTCAACACTCTGTGACTGGATGGAAAGTACATAGCAACGTTAACAAGTCGCATTTCTAAAAAATATAAATCATTAGTTATATATATGTGAATAAGTAAACAAATTCTTATCGAACTCCGATCGGGAACAGAATTAAGAGCCGCTCCCTAATTTCTTGCTGCTATGGTGCAATAATTTCGCGGAGACGATGGCATATAGGATGCTAATAACGTATAATTCAGCGAGTGCCACCGAGCGGAATATTTATTTGGCCTGGTTCCTGATCTCCGACCTTATAATGTTCTTTGCGCTGTCTGTGTCGCTGCCAGTGATTGGTAACGCCTCAGCTTGTAAGACTATTAGTAGCTGCGATCCATTCCTGCCAGTCTGTGCGGCGTCAACAAGTGAGCACCAGTTTTTCTACAGCCACTGTGAGATGTTGCGGGATGCCTGCCTTACGGGCAAGGGTGAGTGATCCGTTGTGAAGAAAAGTCGTTGAAGCGCTAATTCTTTTAAACTGCAGATTGGAAAATGGACTACTTCAGCCACTGCAATGTCAGTAAGCTCTAGCCCTTTCGGATACGTTCGACTTGCACACAATTAACTGAATCAGAACAAACAAGTTCAAACAATTCGATTTGTGTATATACAAACATTTATAATAAAACGGCTTTTAAGTCTTAACTGTATTCTAAGCGACAAGCTGCGTGCCAATCTCCAAACTAATTAGTTAGCTAACTCGGACAGCTTCTGACGTCTGAACTCTTTCCTCGCCTCGTCGAGCAGCACGTTGTGCAGCAGATTTCGGTTCTGTGAGTGATCCGCCACGAGCGACGGGTAGGGATTGCCACGGAGCTCCAGCACAGACTGCCTGTAGTAGATGCCGGGATAGTCCCGAGGGGCCTTGTACATGCGAGTGTAGGACACATTGTAGTTCTCATAGCGCGGCACCAGCACCTTGAAGAGCTTGTGCACCAGTTGCTTCTCCAGCAGCCAGTAGTCGGCCAGTTCCATGGTGGCCGCGTGCCGGTCCCCATGGCGGATAGCATTGGAAATGAGCTGCGGGAGGAGGAATGCATAGTTGGACCTTCGCATGGAATCAACCGGCCAGTGACGACTCCTTACCAGTTCCGCGTAGCCACGAGCTTCATCAGCGCGGTTGTAGAACAGTTCAATGCGCTCGTGCTTCACCAACGCCGTTACAGTCTTACGCAGCTTCAGCAGCCGCCCCTCCGGACCATCCGCATTCTTTAGGTTGCGCCTATTGGGCCGGACTGCGATGCGCAGCTGTGACATCAGCTTAGTCACATCGGCTTGATTCATTTTGCCCTAGTTTGGACGATTTAACAAAATTGAATAAATACGAAATCACGTAATGCGCCGCCGAACAGCTGGTCGGCCGATACCGATAAGTTCATGCTAAGCGCACTATCGCACTATCGATATCTATTGTACCAGGGCTGGAACGCTGCCAAATTAAAATTAAACATTTTAAAATTTGAAAATCCGCTATTTTAAAAAAAGGGTATAGGGGGATTCCCTAATCTGTTGAATTGCTGAATTGTTGAAAATTCAACAACAAATTTCAGCAATTAAGGGAACGACCTAAAATGACTCCTGTTGAATTTTCAAACAGCTGTTATTTGTTGAAAAATTTCACGGAACTTAAAGCATGTAAAATTAGATTTATTATTGCTAGTTACTGTCTAAAAGTGTTATAAAGGTAAAAAGAACCACAAATATGCTTTCTAAGTTGATTTTAAAATAAATAATTCGTACTGGTGATACTAAAATGTTACAGAGTTGCCACGACTTTTAAAAAAAGGTGACAACTCTGGCTTTTCAGCAATTCAACAAAATTTTCAACAGCCCCGAGGCTGATGAATTGCTGAAATTTCTGAAAGTTGACTTTGTATGGAACAGCTGATTAACAGCTGACCAAAATTCAACAATTCAGCAATTCAACAGTTTAGGGAATCCCCCTTATAATTAATTATATCCCTATTGAACAGTTAATTGCTGAATATATTAATTTTTAACTGCGTTTTTTAAGTTTAAGTTTTGTAAATGATGTTATAAACAAATCTAAAAGTGTTGAAACCATAGAGTGGTAAATTTATGACGTATCCGCGGTACATATACTGTGAAGGAAAAACTTAAAAGATATCTGTGATTTGATACTCAGTACTATCGCAACGCAAGGCCCGATAGCGCACGAGTACTCGATACTATCGCGGAAGGCCCGCCCACCCCCAGCCAGCACGGTCACTCCAATTTCAGTGAAAATTTTTTAGATTTTGTGTGCGGTTCTTCTCTTGCTCAAATAAGTTCATTAGGTTGGAAGCGGTGTTTAGCCCCGAAACGCAATCAAACACTATTCGCTATTGAAGCCAAGTGCCACGGCCCTCTGCTAGTAACTCCCCCGCATTCGAACGAAAAAATGGCAACAACAGCGAACAGCGCGACAGCTGCCGGAGCAGCAAAAGACGCCCCGCCAGCGCCAGCCAAGTCGTTGTCCGGCATTGTGAAGCAGGTAAGGCGGGGGAGTGGGCCCTTGTGGGATTGGGTGCTGGGAGTACGGATTCTGGCCCGAATCCCAGTGAGAAAATAAGTGAAATGTACCATCTATCTTTCATCAGCGTGGCAAAGGCGGCGGAAAGCGGCCGAGTGCAACTCTGACAAGTGCGAGTGAGACGCGTATAGACTCGGTGCGTGTGTGTGACACGTTGCACACGCTCGTCCGATCCGAAGAAATGAAAGTTATAGGTGCCAAGCTGGCAGATTTTCTTCGCGGCGGTTGTTGTTCTTGCTGCTGCCGTGGACCGGCACCCTCCGCGTCACCAGCGAGGATGGCTGGCCGGGCCTCGGGAATTGTTTTGCGGAGCTGACTCTTTTTCACCCTCCGAGACCCAATTTATGCGCTGAATGGGTTCGTTTCTAACCTCCCAGGCGAGTGCGAAGGAGCCCTTTCCTGCTATTAATGAATGTAATTGGCCCTGGGCCTGCTTAGTGCGGCACGTACTTTCACCTCTGGGCGGCCTTGTTGCCAGCCGCCGTGCCTCGATGGCCATTTTCAGTCAGCTCCGTGGACTTTTGTCCGCGTCGATGGCGATAGTGATAACAACTATGGATGTGCGAAGAGCAGAGTTTCGCGGCATAATCTGGCTTGGTGACGTTGGCACCCTGCAAACAAAGTCTCGACATCCCGAAAGTCGTCTCGCCCTCACTCGAAAAACCTGTTGATCTCTCAGGTAATAGCCGACGCCCTAGTACCTGCCCATTTACATATTGCCCTCTGTGCGCTTGCTGCTCGTCATTTGGAATTTGTCCATGGATATGGGATGCGTAGATACGCGTTTTCCTGGAGCCCATCCAGTACATATTTGAGCAGATGCCCCTTACTTTTCTGCACCCTAAACCGGTTTGAGGGCAGGCCTGTTTTCAGTTAGGGTCGAATCATCGAACTTCTTTTACCAAATCCGACGAGCGACCGGTACTTGAATTTTCAATATGTCCCACATATGCGGAAGATTTATAGCGCAGGCGCTATCGGCAGGAAACTGCACATGTTGTTATTTAATTAACTACACACCCAGCTCACGCACAAGCCGAGTTTTGGTTTTGGTTCCCTAATTGGTAGGTTTCTGCGGGGTAAAATTTGAGTGGCTGAATAACTCCCAATTTCACGTGATTTAACAAAAATACTCGACATATCGATAGTGCCAAGTGGCGATAGGGCCATCGCTGCCCGTCCACCTCTAGTCTCTAGCCACACGTGCCTTGCATTTTAACCTCACTCCCTCACTCGGACTGTTCCAGGTTCTCTCCGGCGACACTGTAGTCATCCGCGCGACCAAGGGAGCCCCGCCCCCGGAGAAACAAATCACCTTCTCGCATGTCCTGGCCCCGAAGCTGGCCCGTCGCCCCGGCGCTGGTGGCGACGAGACCAAGGACGAGCCCTGGGCCTGGGAGTCGCGGGAGTTCCTGCGCAAGAAGCTGATCGGCGTTGAGGTGACCTTCACGTTCGACAAGCCCGCCAACTCGAACCGGGAGTACGGATTCGTGTGGATCGGCAAGGACAAGGAGACCGGCGAGAATGTGGTCGAGTCCATTGTGCGCGAGGGTCTGGTTTCCGTGCGCCGCGAGGGACGCCCCACGGCCGAGCAGCAGACCCTCATCGAGCTGGAGGACCAGGCTCGCGCCGCGGGCCGCGGCAAGTGGTCGTCCAACGCAACTGTCGCCGACAAGGTGCGCAACATCAAGTGGGCCCACGAGAACCCCGCCCACCTGGTCGACATCTACGGAGGAAAGCCCATCAAGGCGATCATCGAGCACGTGCGCGATGGCTCCACCGTCCGTGCGTTCCTGCTGCCCGACTTCCACTACATCACGCTGATGATTTCGGGCATCCGGTGTCCGGGAGTCAAGCTGGATGCCGATGGCAAACCGGATCTGAGTGTGAAGGTGCCGTTCGCCGACGAGGCCCGCTACTACGTGGAGACCCGCCTCCTGCAGCGCGATGTGGAGATCCGGCTGGAATCAGTTAACAACTCCAACTTCATCGGAACGATTCTGTACCCGAAGGGAAACATTGCCGAGTCGCTCCTGCGCGAGGGACTGGCCAAGTGCGTGGACTGGTCCATGGCTGTTATGAAGACTGGTGAGTTTACCTGCTTTTTTAAGCCAAGTCCGCAGCTCGATTGCACAGCACAGCACCGAATTGGTAAATAACCTATGGTTGTGCTGTTCACTGTTTGCAACCGGCTGCCAGAGAAAAGACGGATTCCAAGAATTTTGCGACTGACTACTGTCGCTGCGTTCATTTCACCCCGTCGACATCAACATCTGCCAGCCAGATTTCGCAAAAGAATTATACTGACACTTTGACTAAAAAACGTTTACTTTTTAGGCGCCGACAAGCTGCGTGCTGCGGAGCGAATTGCCAAGGATAAGCGCCTGCGCCAATGGCAGGACTACCAAGCAAAAACACCCGCTTTCAACTCGAAGGAAAAGGACTTTTCCGGAACCGTAGTGGAGGTTTTCAACGGCGATGCCGTCAACGTACGCCTCTCCAACGGCCAAGTGAAGAAGGTCTTCTTCTCGTCCATCAGGCCGCCACGCGACCAGCGTGCGGTGGTTGGCACCGACGGCGAGGAAATCGTTAAGGCCCCACCACGCGGAAAGAACTACCGGCCCCTTTATGAAATTCCACACATGTTCGACGCCCGCGAGTTTCTGCGCAAGAAGCTGATCAATAAGAAAGTGCAGTGCAACCTGGACTACATCTCGCCCCCACGAGAGAACTTCCCTGAGAAATACTGCTACACCGTCTCCATTGGCGGGCAGAACGTGGCCGAGGCCATGGTTGCCAAGGGCCTGGCCACATGTGTGCGCTACCGCCAGGATGACGATCAGAGATCTTCCGCCTACGATCAGCTGATTGCTGCCGAGCAGCAAGCCATCAAGGGACTGAAGGGCCTGCATGCAAAGAAGGACAACGCTACACTGCGAGTCAACGACCTGACCGTTGACCATTCCCGCATCAAGGTTCAATACCTGCCTTCGTGGCAGCGTGCTCTGCGCTCTGAGGCCATTGTGGAATTCGTTGCCAGCGGGTCCCGCCTCCGAATCTTTGTGCCAAAGGACAGCTGCCTGGTCACATTCCTGCTTGCCGGCATCTCATGCCCGCGCTCTTCCCGCCCAGCGCTGAATGGAGTTCCTGCCCAGGAGGGAGAACCCTACGGCGACGAGGCCCTGACCTTCACCCGCGAGCGTGTCTTGCAACGGGACGTTTCCGTGCATATCGATACCACCGACAAGGCAGGATCTTCCGTGATCGGCTGGCTCTGGACGGACAGCGGTGCCAACCTGTCGGTTGCCCTGGTGGAAGAGGGTCTGGCGGAGGTGCACTTCAGTGCCGAGAAATCCGAGTACTACCGCCAGTTGAAGAGTGCCGAGGACCGTGCCAAGGCCGCCAAGAAGAACATCTGGACCAACTATGTGGAACAAGTGCCTGAGGAGAAAGTGGTGGTTGAGGAAGAGAAGGAGGATAAGGTGGTGGTAGAGCGCAAAGTCAATTACGAAAACGTAATTGTCACCGAGATTACCGAAACTCTGACATTCTTCGCTCAGTCCGTTGAGAACGGCACCAAGCTAGAGTCCCTGATGAGCAAGCTCCACGCCGACTTCCAGTCCAATCCACCAATCGCTGGATCGTACACCCCCAAGCGTGGAGACCTGGTGGCCGCTCAGTTCACCCTTGATAACCAGTGGTACCGTGCCAAGGTGGAACGAGTCCAGGGCAGTAACGCCACCGTCCTGTACATCGATTATGGCAACAAGGAGGTAAGTCTAGATGTTGATAAGAGTGTACTCCGCAAGTTCCTTAGATCCGTTTCCGGCTTGAAGTGAAACGCATGAGTCATAAGCTTGCCATATCAAATATGCATCCACGAATGACTTTATACGTTGCGTGATGGCGCAATGCAAACCCTACAGCTGCGATAACTGTGTTCACCGTTTCAAGTCGTATGGTATTCTCTTCAAAGGTACAGAGGTAGTTCCATATTTTTTGGCTCAACCACTGTCCAAAGTAGCAGGATAAAATACGCGCGAGGCAAGAGCGCAAAGTGGCTGGGGGCGCCACAACCACGCTGCAAATGTCTTCGAGTTGCGACACATCCAACCCAAAAAAAGCTAGGAGCGAACAATTGTGAAAGTACTAACACTAAATTCCCCTTTCAGACACTTCCCACAAGCCGCTTGGCAGCCTTGCCCCCAGCCTTCAGCAGCGAAAAACCGTACGCCACGGAATACGCTCTGGCCTTAGTCGCCCTGCCTTCTGACAACGAGGATAAGGAAGAAGCCCTGCGTGCCTTCTCCGAGGACGTGTTGAACCACAAGGTTCAACTCAATGTGGAACTCAAGGTGGCTGGATCGCCGAACTTGGCCACGCTGCACGATCCGACAACTAAAGCTGACTTTGGAAAGCAGCTCGTCGCCGAGGGACTCGTTCTGGCCGAGAAGCGTCGCGAGCGCAAGCTCAAGGACCTTGTGGACCAGTACAGGGCCGCACAGGAGGCAGCTCTTGCCGCGCATCTGGCCATCTGGAAGTACGGCGACATAACACAGGACGATGCGCCCGAGTTCCGCTAAGAGATGGCTGGAAACGTGGAGTAGGCCTGTGGCGTGATGCGCGTTGCTAGCCGAAATGTTTGTCTGCCACATACCCGCCCTTTATATACATAACAAGAAGCAACAACTTAAAGAATATGAAATTACTAATTCTATCTATACACACCAATATATATGATACATATACCACATTGGAAATACATACATACATATGAGCAATGGCATGGAAGAACACAGTACACTTTTTGTATGCTTTAAGCAGCTGGAAAATTATTAATAATTGTTTGGTCTTCTAGTTTTTTCAATCATGATCCTTTAAATAAATATTTGACACAACCTAGCATCAATTGGAACCTTTTGTAAGCGCTTGTCCCTCGTAAAGCATATTATGATGCTGCTTGTCTGAAGCATGCTAACCTTGTAACCTCAACATTGTCTTTTAAATTGCAGATTTTATGTTATTGTAAAGTGTTTTTTGCATTACTGAGTAAATACAATTAAATAATTTTTTAAAAAACCGAGTCGATAGCATTCACTAGCGCCGCTCCAGCGAATCCACTTTCTCAATGATGTTCTCAATGTTGAAGTCATTCGGCATCTTGAGTTTCTTTTGTCTGTCCAGCAAAGACTGTTTGGTGGCCAGATTCTCGTTGTTTCGCTGCAAAACAACGGCATCCGGGATGAGTCGTCCCTTCGCAGCACCCTTAAACCTGCAACAGAGGGTTCAGTTTCGATTTACCGGGGTCGGTTCACCCTTACCGTTCCAGCACGGCTACGTCCCTGGCTGCCTCCTCGATGGCGGTCTTGATGCGCTGCAACTCTATGCGCTGCTGCACTATGGTCTGCCTGTTCTCGATGCAGTCCCTCTTCTTGGCGGAGTAAAAGTCCCGCAAGTAGTCCAGATTGAAGTCGTGGATGTGGGAAAGGGCATAGTATTGCACGCATCTCTCGAGAAGTGACAGATCTTCGTCAGAGAAGTCGCCCAGCTCTACGCTGGCCAGCTTCAACTGCTCCTCGTACTGCTGGCCTAGGCCCTTCAGCGCCTTGATTTCCTCCTGAATCTTCAAGTTCTCTGCATCACAGGTGTAATTAGTTTTAAAATAAGTGGCTATTTTCAAATTAACTCACGCATTTTCATTGGGATCGCAGTCTATCGATGTAAACCCGATACTACTCGATACTCAGAGTGCAACATTTCAGGGCTGCAAACGGATCTGGAAAATGCTCAGTTTCAAATCGGGGAAAAATAGATACAATTAAAATAATTAAGTTACTTCCGTTAAGAAGACCCTTATCTTAAAAAACAAAGTACAACGATTTAAAAATAAGTATTCGATTAGACTTTTGTTATCGAACCAGTGTGACCGCGTGTGCAAAAGCGAGAAACACCAATAGCCCAATAGTACGGGAAATAGTTATCAAATTTTCGCTAGCTCATAAAATCGATTTGTACGGCTACTTTTCTTTGTTTACTTTCATTGTGCAAATTCATAAAAGACATTCGAAAAACCCTCTTTCAATACTCACGCGAGGCATTCGGGCTGCGGAAGTGCGGAAGTATTGATTTGCCCCGGCAAAATGTGAAGTAAAATGAATGGCAAATCGATCGATTTTTGACAGCGAAGTGGGAAAGTAGCGGTGTCTGGGTGTGTTGTGTACTGCGCCCAACTGAAAGTTAAACGCCTAAGCGAAGGAGGATCATCGAATAAAACCAGGACGCCACTATAGACTCCCCGGCCATGGAGCACACATCCTCGCTACCTGGCTACGTTCGCGAGAAGCTCGCTGAGCTGGATTTGGAGCTCTCGGAAGGTAGATATACCAATTTTCGCCTGTTTTTGGTACACACGAAAATCCAATATTGTTGCTAGACTGGCAGTGAGTTTGGGAAAAATGAAATTGTGTATACATATCAGACACCAACTAATTGAACAGCTACCGCTCCCAATTCGGATTATAAATTACAAGCTTTTCCTTGCTGAAGCCCACTCACACAGCCAGGCCCCAATTAAAAGAAAAGTGTGTGTATGTCATGTGTTGGGGCGTTCAGCATAGGAACATCTTGATCATGGCTGTGTTGCTGTTCCATGACTAATATTAATGACACCAAAACCAAGCGGAGCTGCTGAAAACCCATTCCCATTTGCATTTTCAGGCGACATTACGCAGAAGGGCTACGAAAAGAAACGGGCGAAGCTGCTGCAGCCGTTCCTCAAGAAGCATGAAGGTAAGTGGATGGGGCTCGGAATAAATTGCTATTTGGTAACTGACATTTCCAACCATCCTCTTGTGGAAAGGCGACAAGGTGAAGAGCACGGCGCCACCGCCATACTACAACGTGAAGGATGCCAACAACAGCAACAGCCACGGAAACATCAACAACGACGGCGTCATAGTGTCCAGCGAGGGCTACAGCTATGTCACCGAAGTGCCCTCCCTGTCCTCCTCACAGCAAAGACATTCCAAAAAGATCGACTTCCATCAGTCATCCTCCGTGAGCTCGTCATCGACGCCTCAGGGCGGAAATGTGGGGGCCCCCGGCTACGAGAATATGCGACCACAGGGCGGAGCGGTCGGCGATCCCGGATATCAGAATACTCGCGAGCCCAGTGGCTTCCAGAATCAGCAGTCAACCAATAATAGTCAGCATCGTCAGCGACGCACACAGCGCAAAGTAACGCACAATGAGAAACGTTATCATTCTGGTAAGTAGTGCTAATGAACAACGACGGTTTACTGTGAACTTTCCACCCCCAGAAGTACGACAGGAGGCAGTGCAGCAGGCACTAGCGGCTCTGAAAGGTCGCCCCAAGCCCAGCCTGCCTATGCCATCGAAGCGCACATCTGTCCTGAACCGAAGCCCTGGATGCAACGATGAGCTGGACTCATCGACGGATGACGAATCCATTCCCGAGGAGACCATTTCCCCCGACAAGGAGTACAACTATCCGCGGGATCATATTAGCAACAGCATTCTGCCACCCGAGCCCATAATAAAACCCCCAATTCGTGAGTCATCGATGGGTTCGCAGCAGCACTCGAGGCCGGAAGTAAAACAGAACCAATTGCCAAATCAGAAGTATTCATCATCGAATAGCGCTCCAGAAAGGCGGCCACCGCAAAACTTACCTCCAATTGTGAGTAAAATATATTTAATCTGTTTAAATCTGCTTTTCTGGAGCCGTTTTGTTCGTGCCCCAGATTGGCCCATTTCAAAGAATGCTATTTAATAGAAGAATTTATTTTGTGCAGCCAACATCAGACGCATTGAGCACGGACGCCCCGCCGATTGCATACAAGCGGGAGAGTGACTTTTCTGACAAAGCGTTCAAGCAAAAGCAATGTAAGTAATTGAATTCACAATGAAACGAAATGAAACCAATTAAATTTAAATACACGTCATCTGTGTAAGAGGCTTAACTTCATAAGTAATACATTTCCCCCCTCTTTTATTAGTCAACGCTCCTGACATCACACAATTTAATAATGCACATCGGGCAGCGGACCGAGTGACGCGATACGTTAACGTTTCTCAAAACGAACTGAACGAGGCCGACGCCAATGGCAAGTGGAAGGTGTCGGCTAAGATACAGCAACTGCTAAACACCCTCAAAAGACCTAAGCGCCGGCCGCTGCCGGAGTTCTACGAAGATAACGACATTGAGCTGGAGATTGCTGCCAACACGAAGGATCCGAATGCCCCAAAACCGGAGGGCAGCACAATGACTCCTGTGCAGGGCGAGCAACTGTCCATACCAGCCGGACTTCCGCGTACTCTCGAGTGCGCACTGCAACGATATGGCACTAATTCTTTTAAGAGTCCCATGGCTACGGTCCTCGATCCTAATGGCAAGATAACGACTACCTTAACGTATGGCAAACTGCTTTCGCGCGCACAAAAGATTGCGTACGCCTTGTCCACGAAAATATTTAGCAAGGGACCTGAGCAAGTGACCCTCAAGCCAGGCGATCGTGTTGCTTTGGTTTATCCCAATAACGACCCCTTAAGGTTAGTTAAAATACATACATATGCTGGATTTATTTAATCAAATTTCTTACAGTTTTATTACAGCCTGGTATGGTTGCATGTTTCGGGGCTTAGTGCCTTTGCCAATAGAGCTACCGCTTTCTAGCTCGGATACACCTCCGCAGCAAGTGGGATTCTTATTGAGTTCTTGCGGCATAACCGTGGCGCTAACCTCGGAGGCTTGCTTGAAAGGGCTACCCAAATCATCCACTACGGGGGAAATAGCTAAGCTAAAGGGTTGGCCACGTTTGCAGTGGTTTGTAACCGAGCATTTACCCAAGCCGCCTAAGGAATTCAATGTGGGCAATTTACGGGTCGACGATTCGGCTGCAGCCTATATCGAATACACAACTGATAAAGAAGGCAGTGTTATGGGTAAGTGTACCCTACCCCACTTACCAAACATTTGTAAAAATTTTAAATATTTTATAGGTGTCACTGTTACCCGCGCAGCGATGATCAATCATTGCCGAGCTTTGACTATGGCCTGTCATTACACCGAAGGCGAAACCATTGTGTGTGTGTTGGATTTCAAGCGTGAAGTTGGACTATGGCATTCAGTTCTTACTTCCGTTTTGAATGGTATGCATGTTATTTTCATACCCTATGCCTTGATGAAGCTGCGACCATCCAGCTGGATGCAATTGATAACAAAACACCGGGCTTCTTGCTGCCTGGTTAAGAGTCGCGATCTGCATTGGGGCCTGCTGGCTACTAAAGATCACAAGGATATATCGCTCTCTTCTCTGCGTATGTTGCTCGTGGCCGATGGAGCCAATCCCTGGTCACTTTCATCGTGCGACCAGTTCTTGAGCGTTTTCCAAGCAAAAGGATTACGCTCAGATGCGATTTGTCCGTGTGCCAGTAGCTCTGAAGTATTTACTGTTTCCCTTCGTCGACCTGGACGAGGATCTTGCGGATTCAGTCCATCAGCTACAGGACGCGGTGTGCTGTCCATGGCAGCACTGTCTCACGGAGTAGTGAGAGTGGACAGCGAAGACTCGTTAACGTCGCTAACTTTGCAAGACTGTGGTCAAGTGATGCCAGCAGCACAAATGGTGGTCGTGCGTTCGGAAGGATCTCCCGTGCTTTGCAAGACGGATCAAGTCGGCGAAATATGCGTTACTAGTGGCTCCACAAGCGCTAGCTACTTTGGTCTCGACGGAATGACGAATTCAACTTTTAAAGTTCAACCTCTATTGGAAGAATTCGAACAGCCAAAAGATGGAAATGGCACAGTGAACATTATTTCCAAACCGATTGGCGAAGACTTTTACGTGAGATCAGGTCTTCTGGGCTTTCTTGGTCCTGGGGGCTTGGTCTTTGTCTGCGGATCCCGTGATGGTCTCATGACGGTTACCGGGCGAAAGCACAACGCGGATGACATAATTGCCACAGTATTAGCAGTGGAACCCATGCGATTTATTTACAGAGGGCGCATAGCTGTGTTTAGCATTAAAGTCCTGCGGGACGAACGCGTGTGTGTCATCGCTGAACAACGTCCCGACTGCTCTGAGGAAGAAAGTTTCCAGTGGATGTCACGCGTTCTGCAGGCAGTGGACTCCATTCATCAGGTTGGCATTTATTGCCTGGCATTGGTTCCACCGAATCATTTGCCCAAGACTCCCCTTGGGGGCATACATTTATGTGAGGCAAGACGAAGATTTTTGGAGGGTTCCCTTCACCCGGCGAATGTTCTGATGTGTCCACATACATGCGTCACCAATCTACCAAAGCCACGAGAATTGCATCAAGGTGAGTTCTCCGATCAACTGAATTGAATACGTTTAAATAATTGGCTTTTGATGGACTTCCTGTGCTTTATTTACCTTATTAAATACAAATATTGCTTTCCTCTATTTTTAACCACCAACTTCGGCAATGCTGCGATTACTTCTATGACCACTACAACACTCACTGCAAAAACAAAAATAACAACACTGTATAATATCAACAACAAACACAAACGCCAACATAACTAATGAAATCGCTTTAATAATCATTTTTGTAACGAATCCTTGTACAAAAACGACAAATCATTCTACTACTAACCATTCCCCAAACAAAATAAGGTGTGCAAACTGCCGCAAAATTAAGCTCATCATCTGGATGTGGTATTACAGACACGGGTGTAGGACCAGCCTCCGTGATGGTTGGAAATTTAGTGCAGGGTAATCGCCTCGCTGAAGCCCACGGACGGGATGTCGGACTAGCCGAAGACTGTGAGCGAAAGGTTGGTCAATGTGCCTATTTTGAATGGAAATGTGAATTTTGAAATTGTCGATATTTCAACAGCCGCAACTTATAACGGGTGTATTGCGTTGGCGAGCAGGCACTTCCCCAGATCACATTATATTTACACTGCTGAATTCTAAGGGTAAGTTAAATATTTCTGTAAGTATATCTATTTTAGATTTATTTCTTAGGTGCCATTGCGAAAACTCTGACATGCTCGGAGTTGCACAAACGGGCAGAGAAAATAGCGGCATTGTTACAAGAGCGAGGAAGAATAGAGCCAGGCGATCATGTTGGTAAGAATTCTTCGATATAGACGCTTTAATACAAATTGTAATAAATTAATTTCCTTGCAGCGCTTATATTTCCCCCAGGACTTGATTTGTTGTGCGCATTTTACGGATGCCTATATTTGGGTGCTATACCAATTACCATACGGCCGCCACATCCACAAAATTTAAACACCACATTACCCACTGTTCGCATGATTGTTGATGTCTCAAAAAGTGGAATTGTGCTCTCTATTCAACCGATAATTAAGTTACTAAAATCCCGAGAGGCCGCAACCTCCATTGATCCAAAGACATGGCCACCCATATTAGATATCGACGACAACCCAAAACGCAAATATGCCGGCATAGCCACGGTCTCCTTTGACTCTAGCGCCTATTTGGATTTCAGCGTGTCAACTTGTGGCCGTCTAAGCGGAGTAAACATAACGCATCGGTAGCTAAATTCACATCGCATTAAAAAACCTCTTGCTGTAACTTTAGTTTATTCAACAGATCTCTATCTAGTCTGTGCGCCAGTTTAAAATTGGCCTGTGAGCTGTATCCTTCTCGTCATGTTGCGTTATGTTTGGATCCCTATTGCGGCCTTGGCTTTGTAATGTGGACTCTTATCGGAGTATACAGTGGCCACCATTCGATTCTTATCGCACCCTACGAAGTGGAAACTAATCCCAGTTTGTGGCTGTCAACTCTCTCGCAACATCGTGTTCGCGACACCTTCTGCTCATATGGCGTAATAGAATTGTGTACGAAAGCCCTCAGTAATTCTATACCCTCCTTAAAGCAACGAAACATTGACTTGCGTTGCGTGCGGACGTGTGTTGTAGTTGCGGAAGAGCGCCCGAGGGTTCAGCTGACCCAGCAGTTCTGTAAGCTGTTCCAAGCACTCGGTCTAAATACTCGCTGCGTCTCCACTTCATTTGGGTGTCGTGTGAATCCGGCCATTTGTGTGCAAGGAGCTAGCTCTGCAGAGAGTGCTCAGGTTTACGTAGATATGAGGGCTTTGCGAAATAATCGAGTAGCTTTGGTGGAGCGCGGTGCACCAAATTCGCTATGTGTAATTGAATCAGGAAAACTTCTACCAGGAGTAAAAGTGATCATAGCAAATCCGGATACCAAGGGTCACTGTGGCGATTCGCATTTGGGAGAAATTTGGGTAATTATTTGCTACATTCGTAGTAATCATATCTAATGTGTTATCTTTTTGTTAGGTTCAAGCTCCCCACAATGCAAATGGATACTTTACAATTTACGGCGATGAAACCGACTACAATGATCACTTCAACGCCAAATTGGTAACTGGGGCCACCTCTGAATTATATGCACGTACTGGATATTTGGGATTCTTACGCCGAACCGAATGCTCTCAGGCAGCCTCACTACTTGACGAGACCACACCGAGTGTGGCTAGTCGCGACAGTGATACAGAATCGTTGAATTCCATGAGTCAATTGCAGTTAAATTTTTCAAATGCTTCCTTGGGTGCAAATTCTGAGCATAGCCTAATTGGCGGCGCAGGAAACTCGAATGACCAGGAACTCCACGACGCTGTGTATGTAGTTGGAGCTGTTGATGAAGTGATCTCCTTGCGTGGCATGAACTATCATCCAATTGATATCGAAAATTCAGTAATGCGTTGTCACAAAAAAATAGCTGAGTGGTAAGACTTGAAAAACAACCTGTAAGGACAAATTTTACCCAATGTTTTATACGCAGTGCCGTTTTCACGTGGACTAATTTATTAGTCGTAGTTGTCGAACTAGATGGCAACGAATCAGAAGCTTTGGATTTGGTTCCCTTGGTGACAAACACAGTATTAGAAGACCATCAGCTAATAGTTGGTGTTGTTGTGGTCGTTGATCCAGGTTTGTAATCTAAATGTGTCAAATGACTTAAGTAATAACTTTTTGTTTCCAGGTGTGGTGCCTATTAATAGTCGGGGCGAAAAGCAACGGATGCATTTACGGGATGGCTTTCTGGCCGACCAATTGGATCCCATATACGTAGCATATAACATGTAAATACACATTTATTCTTATGATGAAATCGCCACTACGTAGTTATGAAACGTAAGCAAACGTTTTCTTAGTATCTTATTTAAAACAATCGCAATCCATTAAAAAATATGAAATGGCTCATTTTGGTTCGGACCGCCCACATAATTACACATTTCCTTTTAGAGTACTAGCATAGATGGTAAAACATTCTTAAAATAAATGGACTATTTAACTTTATATGACCATATTAGTGACAACAAACATTTAATATTTATATGTAAGTCTAAATAAACAACAATTTACATACTTTTTTAATATTTTTCTGATATATTAGCGTGTTTTAAGATCTGCACTTTTAAATGTTTTTTATGATTTTTGGGTCGAGTTGTAACTTAAATACAAAATGCAAATTTTGTTGTCCGGCCTGGAAGGGAAGAGGCTGATGCTTCCGATCTTATATCTTATATCTCTGCTTAAATATTTCATATAATTAAATCATAATTTTCTCCTTAAATTATCCAGAATTGAAGACGTGATATAAAAAGGAAGCGTTATGTGAAAATTAGTTTTTATATTAAAATTGTATGTCTATGTGGGATTGTTGCTATTACTAAGAGCTTGCAGCTCGGTTCCTTGAAGTTCGTGGGAGCCCCGATCATACCACCACCTTAATATTATTGTGCGGCGCCTCCGCACAACAAGAAATATTAGCAGTACCCAAACTCCTTGAAGACCATTTACCATGTCGCAAAGAAGCAGGTAATTCGAATTGGATCCCGAGTAAAATGTGACTATTTCGAGTAGCCAGCTTATGACCATAATTATTCCAAGTAAACTGACGCATTTGGCGCTGATAAAGTAAGTATTCAAAGATATTAATAGTATTTTAACGTAAATAAAAAATTAATACACTTACTCCTTTTTTACGTCCTCGTATTTTTGTTGATCAAATAATAAATTTCGCTCTACTTGATCCCCCTTTTCAGCTTTTTCGTACCCGTTTATACGTTGAAATCCGAAGAATGATATGATGTTAATCTAAGGATGTAAACATGGTAAAAATATATTATTTTATATGCCTGAATTCTCTTACCAAGAAACTAAGAAAAAGAATCGTGGAAACTGGAGGTATAAAATAACGCTGTGAGTCTCGTATAGATTCCGTGAGGCCTTTAAATGAAAAATAATATTTTAATTGGATGCTATTTAGTATAACTGTTGCTATTAACTTGCCTTGCAGAAAGTAGGATGGCATTCCTGGCAAACCCTTTTGAACTGTTAACGCAACTATAGTAGCCGGTCCAGAAAAGGCCAAAACAGTGTAGCACGCAAAATTAAACGTGGCCCAAGGCTTAGAAAGCTGGATGCAGCAGGGCAACTTGTACCACACATTTAAGAGAACGTTAAAGCATATACAGAAGTACCAGAAAAAGTAGCTTAAAATACAAAACTGTATAACATAGCCAATAAATCCTTGGTTCGGGATGCCATATATGTGCACCACTGAATGCACAAAGTATCCAGAAGCCAAGCACAAAGACATCAAACTTAAGGAGAGACCATGTAAGTTACGCAACAAACGAAGTGTCATGTGCAAATAACTAACTAATAATAGACAGGGCATAGATATGAGCATTAAAACAGCAACAAAAATGACCTGAAATGATTAAAAATAATTAGTTTTTATAGGAAATACAGTCTTGATAATCATCATTACTTTTGCGAATGCAATTTGTTCTTCAACTTGCGTAACACATGTAAAGGCAAAAAAATGTCCAGATTTATCAATATCCAAGCAGTAATTCTCTTGGACTGTATACGATTCATTGCCGAACTTGTCAATAATTAACAATGATCCGTCTTGTAAAACGAAAAAAACGTCCTCTTCATCGTCATATATAAGGGAGCTAAACTTGAAGTATAAAATTTAGTATAGTACTGACAGATTATTCATGTTTTTATTGGCATATCTACACACCTGTTACATGGATTTCCAATGTCGTAGTCTAGCTTAGTCTCGATCTCCAAGTCTTCAATGCAGTTATCAAACAGAACCGCACTTATTATAGACGGTTGAAAGTTCAAAATACCGTTGTCGCACATGGAATCACTTTGATTTTCGCGATAAATATCTAGGTTTTCTCCATGTGGACAGCATTTTCGTAATCGGGAAGATTCTTTTGCAATTGGTTGCTTTCTGTATTTTTCCCGCTGCGAGCAGTCTGCTGGCTCTGATGGCTTCTCTATAGAACTCTGAGCGGGCTTAACTCCGGCTTCAGTAATTGTGGTTTCCGTAGTAGTAAAGGTTCCATTCACAACTAGTGTCGAGGATATTATTTCATCCGAGAGACCGGTAGATGTTGTATTTAGTGTACTATGTGTGTCCAAATACGCAGGCACATGCAATAAACATTTCAATTATTTTTCTATTTAACTATAGCTATCACCATTTTTACCTCGATGTATTTAAATCCGTTAAATTATTAGGTCCAGGTCCGGCGGTTGTTTGCGCCGAAAATGTGGAATATGCCTTTAGACTGATTAAAGCTAAGATAATTTTCCAATAACCTAAATTCATACTGATTATATTCCTTAACCAATCTGGAATGATATATGTATAGAAGTCAGATATAGTAAAAATCCAAATGGGTTGCTGCTCCTAATATCGAAGAAACACAATGCAAATCTGTGGACACAACAACCATGTAAACAAAAGCATTTTTACGTTCGTTTAAACAATATGAATTATCTTATCTGTAAGAAATTAAAAGAGTGAGTGTTATTCCTCTCTACTTTGCGTTATCATTATAAAACACATGACGTCAGATTGATGTGTAAGTTTGCTGGTAGCACATTCCTTAGAATCGATCAATACTTGAAAAATTACACTCATTGAAATGGAATTTATAAAAAGAAGGGGTTTAAATTTCAAATATCACGCACTAATGACGTTGGTCCAATTTTTAGTTGAGTATTTCAATTGTACAACGGATAATTTGAATGATTTTTAATATAGATTAGTGTTTACGGACATGTGGAATAACTTAGGTTCGCTGGTAATTATTGGGAATGCAACCACTGAGGTTGATTAATAAAGTAATACTGGCGAATAGAGTCGGTTTTCTGCCATAAAATCGGTTGGTTGGTGATAAGATAGCAATGAGTACAGGGCTACAAACAAAAAAGCATTTTCCCATACCGGTCTGCAGGTTTCACAGGCGTTTCTTTGGAGGTTCGAAAGTGTGTGAAATGGTTTTGACAAGCACTTGATTTGCTGTAAGCATAATTAAATATCACTGGATCATCCAAATACAGTCTTTTTTGTATATTCCCTGGTATAAGAAAACTTTCTATATTTTTACTTGTTTAAAAACTGGAATAAATAAACAAATATGTTATAATGTTTTCTTAAATGTGGACCTAAAAACAATGTAAATGATATCAGGCATTTTAAAAGAGAATAGTACCCATTTCAAACGCCCGCGAAATTGCGCGCTCAATTTCAAATCCCATCTGTCAGCGCGGTGCAGTGTAAATGCCGAAAGCAACCCTGCAAATATCGTTTGTGCAACCTTAGTTGTTTAGTGCCCCGACCCGACCGCCAGAGGTCGCTTCTGGCACCGAGAAATAGAAGGGTCGCTGTGATTGGCCGACTGTACACCGTCTCCAGTTATGTTCAGAACTGAAATGTTAGGTAAAAGTGGCTCTCGCAGTTTGCAGAAGATAGTTAAAAATACGGAATAAATTGTGTTAAATCGTCCGCAAGTGTTCCCCAACATGCTGGGTAATTTGTGCAGTGAAGGCTTGCGTGGATTCTGAACGAACGGTGGCGCTTGGACGGTCGCGAAAATTTTCTCTGTTCTTTAAATGGCGGACAATGTGCGTTGGCTTCATTTCCTCGCACACACACACACACGCTCGGTGGTGCTGGCCAGTGCGTTTGCCAGGCAGCGTTAGAAGCTGAGAATGTGTTTTGAATACATGTACTTAATATATTTAATAAGGGAACCGTCGATCTGAACGGAACAAGCTGTTTTGGCGGGTTTTTGTTGTGCCAAATGTGCGCGATCTAAACAAAAGGTGCTCTGCCAGCAGTCAAGTACTGGGATTGATCGATTTTTCCCGCATACGCCGTCGAGTGAATGTGTGTTTGAATGTGTCCGTAAATAGCTGGGTGCGAGTGGGAAACGGTACTCAACTGAATGGACAATTCCTTCTTTCAGATCTAAATCGGAGCCGAATCTGAGGAGAGGACCCACACACGCACCACCCACACTACAAGCCAGAAGAGCATCATTAAAACAGCCGAAATGAGCGGTCGCGGCAGTCGCAAACGTGGTCGGCCGCCAAAGACGCCCAACGAGCGCGGTTCGGGACGCTTCCAGTACCAGCTGCTCAAGAAGCCCAAGTACCTCAGCGAGGGCAAGTCCCAGCCCAGCACCCCGTCGGCCTCCAGGGGCATTTCCCCGCAGAGCGACGAGGGCAGCCGGAGCAGCCACAACAACCACGCCAATATCAGCCGCAACCGCGGAAGCGCCGCCAAGAGGGGCCGCGGACGCAAGTCCACCGTGCAACCCAACACCAGCAGCTACTCCGGAAGGAAAGGTGGGTTACGTTCGAGACTAGACAGTATAACTTTGTATACCGACCCTTTGGTCAGGTGATCCACATCAGATATCAACATACCTATGTATTTCTAGGATTTCTAGATCCGCCTGTTCCTATTTCAATCTCTGTTTTGTAACATAAAATATCGAATTTAATTAAAATGTAAAATTGGGTTTTGTACGATGCTAGGATATCTACAATAATTTAACTTGGTCGATTGTTGTATTTGATTCATAAACGCTAAGATATTTTTTTACAATTGATTTTTTTTTCCAATATCGGAACTTACCCAAAATCGATTCACAACAAGCTAGAATGGAACAAAATGACAGGTTGTAATTCAGGCCCTGGCTTGAGAAGTAAAATTTGTAAAAATAAAAGATCTAATAAATCTACTTGTCTTCTTTACAGGGTACGAGTCGGAATATCACTACGGATCTGATTTTGGAGACTCCGACGAAGACAAATCAGAAAATGAGGATGACATGCTACTCACGCCCAGCGACGACGAGAGCCTGGAAGCAGCCAACGAGAGCGAGTCGGAATTCTCCGTATGTAGCTTCAACCAAAACGGAGTTGGCCGGCCTCCACGGCCGCCTAGCCCGGAACCCGTGTGGCTGCAGGAAGGGCGGCAGTATGCAGCGCTAGACTTGCCCGACTCCTCGGAGGATCTGTCCATAGCCAATGCCCACGTTTTTCGAGCCCTCAGTATTTACGAAGTACTCCGGCGTTTTCGCCACTTGGTGCGTCTCTCGCCATTCCGATTCGAGGACTTTTGCGCGGCGTTGGCTTGCGAGGAGCAAAGTGCTTTGCTGACAGACGTGCATATAATGTTGCTGAAGGCCATTTTGCGGGAAGAGGACGCACAGGGCACCCACTTTGGTCCGCTGGATCAAAAGGACACTGTTAATATTAGCCTCTACCTTATTGACGCTATAACGTGGCCGGAAGTCCTGCGCAGCTATGTGGAGAGTGACAAGACGTTTGATCGCAACGTGTTCCAAATTCTAAACCAATCTGAGTACCCGTACACGGGCATTGAGAGCCGACTTGAAGTGCTCCAATTTTTGTCAGATCAATTTCTAACTGCCAATTCAATTCGCGATGTCATGCTGCAGGAAGGGCCCATTCACTACGATGACCATTGCCGCGTTTGCCATCGACTCGGCGACTTGTTATGCTGCGAAACGTGCCCTGCCGTCTATCACTTGGAATGCGTAGACCCGCCCATGAACGACGTACCCACTGAGGATTGGCAGTGCGGGCTTTGTCGCTCCCATAAGGTCAGTGGAGTAGTGGACTGTGTGCTGCCGCAGGAAAAACAAGGCGTGCTGATCCGGCATGACAGCCTGGGTGTTGATCGTCATGGGCGCAAGTATTGGTTTATCGCCCGTCGCATTTTTATCGAGGACCAGGCAGACTCCACTTGCTGGTACTACAGTACGACAAGCAAGTTGAAGTTGCTACTTAACCGACTGGACGCCGAAGAACTGGAAACTCGACTGCACAGCCAGATTACAGAACGCCGAGACGAAATTGAGCGGCAAATGAAATTGACTGAGACCCTAACTAATGAGCACAAACACACCAAGCGAAGTTTAATCGAAATCGAACAAGAGGCTACCAATGAAATACTTGAGAAGGAGGCACTTGACGCGGAAGCAGAGGATGGCGATGCCAAATCCGAGAGCCAATCTGATGGAGCGAAGAAACAGGAAGAATCCAAAATGGTAACGCGTCAAAAGTCCAGCCAGCTCAGTAATGGCACGTTGCATTTTAAACTCGGCATGGAGCAAGGATTCAAAAACTATGTTAACCAGTATTCAACCAATGCAATTGCCCTCAACAAGCCGCAACGGAACGAGGAACGGGACAAGCGGCGTCATCTGTCCCACAAGTTTTCGCTAACGACTGCTTCCGACTTTAAGTGGATCGGTATAACCATGGGAACTACCGAGAACATGATTACAACGCTCAGGCAGACGCTGATAAACTTCGAGTCCAATATAGCAGCTTCGTTTCTAAATTCTAACTGGGTGGTTAACAAGAAAGTCTGGAACGCTGCCGTCATGAACGCCCGCCGCGCATCTGACTTTGCTGCCGTCTTGCTGCTGTTCCAATCGTCCCTCAAAAGCGTTGTATTCGCCAATGTCTGGCATGAGCAGCTTGGCCACACGAATCTGCAACGCATAACTAGTGGCGAACGGGAAGAGCGAAAGAAACTGGAGAAGCGAGAGAAGCGCGAGCGGGATGACGAGGAAGAACGCAATCGCCTTGCCTTCAACTACATTAAATACACCCTGGGCCTCAAACATCAAGTCTGGAAGCAGAAAGGAGAGGAGTACCGCGTCCACGGACAGTGGGGCTGGCTTTGGCTTTCAAGCAGTCGACGGTGCGGTGTTCGAGCACGACGAGCTCAACCGCTGGTTCACAATAGGGTGTATGTGCATTACACCATGGGAGAGGAGAATGCCGTAAACGAAATTGTACTGGTCGACCCACGCACTCAGCGTTTTATGCAACAATGCGAGTCCAGCAATGTCGACGGTCAGGTGTGTCATTACTTGCCGGAGCAATTCAAAAACGTGAAAGTTATAGAAGATGTTGGGGAGAAGGTCAAGGGGCACATCGATGTCAGCAAAGCGCTAAATGCTCCAGGGCGTACTTACTACCCGAAAGTGGCTCGCAAGTGTCGGTTAGATGATCTGCTTGATCGCCGTGTAAAATTGGCCGAGGCCGAAGAGCAGATGGCTTCTAAAGTTGCTACCGATGTGAAGCCGCTTGTGATTTCGTCACAAAGCGTTGCGGCCAACACTAAGCAAACGTATCTGGAGAAGCGCTTACTTCGCCTTACTGAAATCCCAGCAAAGGGAGGTCCTGCAAACGTCAACTTGGAACTCGTCAATTCGCTGGCTAAACAAATTCAAACAGTGCGCCTACAATTTAGTCAGCTTAATCGTTTTGCAAAGATTTTCCGTTGCTACACCAAGGAGTGTAATACCAATTCGAATGCTGTATCTCAAATAACCCAAAATACTTGCTACTCGCCATTGTGTCTTCAAAAAGCGCGGGCGAAGAAAGAACTCTTGTTGTTGCTGCGGAAGGCCCATACTGCGGGAAATGGCTCCAAGGAGACAGTTGCCGCCATATTGGGGGCTGTCAAAAAGCCATCTATTCTGGAGCAAAAGCTCACTGAGGGTAAAAGGGAATCCACTCAGCTAGCTACGGATGAATCAGAAGAGGGAAAACCAGCTGAATCCGAGGCACCCTTGGACTTACTGCAAGACTGGGAACATGCTCGGGCGCACGCTGTTCTCTTTAGCGATTCTTTGTTGACTGAGTGCATGCTGCTTGATCAAGACTGCGCAGCCAATGCAAAGATAAAAGAGGAAGATGATCCGAGCGCCGGAAGCAATACAACAACTGACTCCAACACCCAAGACTCCGATAAAATGGACTATATCGAGAGCATGGACGTTTGCAGCAATGTCGAAATTGAGAGTACCGAGGACTCTATTGTGGCCGGCTTAAATGCAGCGTGTTCAGGAGCTAACGCAGAAGATGTCGATATGACACCCGGATGGCGGCGAAAGCGGAACCAGAAATCTAAGAAAAGCTATATTGGAACTAAAGATGTGTTGGATCAGACGTTAGCCAAGGATATACCCCTTAACAAACAGAACCGCAGATTTCCTATCAATGCACGTCCAGTTAAGCGTGAATGCGTAAAGAAATATGAGCGGGAGTATTTTGAGAACGGATCCGAGCGTGTCTATTCATCGAATTCGCCCCGAGGTCGTGTATACCTCCTTAGTGACGCAGCTAAGTTGTACGAGCAAGCTGTAAAGTCCGAGGATAAAACAACAGTCTACAAAAAGCCATCGTATTCACGATACCCTCTAATCTCAAATTTTCTTACTCACAAAAAGAAACGCAGCCTTTTGGTGCTACCTCGTTTCGAGCTCCTTAAGCTGGCGCGTCTGGGTGGAAAAACAACAACTAATGGCTTTCATCACGGGGCGAAAAATAATACAATTTGGCAATATCAGTGCTCACGTCCCCTGTTTCGAACGTGCTGGTCCTATCGCACATCTAATGCCACCTCCTTGTCCAGCCTGGCGCTTCAGTTGCGGATTCTGTGGTCGTGTCTCCGGTGGGACGACATGATAGCGAAGCCCCCGTCCACGGATGGGAAGCATCAGGTCACAACGGATACGGAAATTGTGACTTTGGAATTGCTAAAACTTCGACATGCAGGGCGCTATGGCGAAAAAACAAGCTACTTACGGCGTAAGGTTGTCATTCCGCTTGAAATGCCTAAGACTATAAGAGGTAAGCTCTAACGCGCATGTTTAAATTAAAATTATCTAATATATTTATTTCTTTTACCCACTTTACAGAAGTAACATCCATAAGATCTGGACTGCGGAAACGAAAGCGGGCTGAATCTCCCCAGCCAACCGAGCCGCAGATTAGCGAGGAATGGGTCGATGAAGATAAATTAGAATTGTGGGAAATTAAATTCATTGGAGAAAAACAGGAAAAGGCACGCTTATCGGCGGTAACTCGATCTGTTGCATCTCGTCAATTGGAGGCAAGTGGCAATAATGGTCCGAGCACTTCAACTAATGGAACTCCTGGCGGCGCTGGTCGCGTCCAATTGGCCCCGAAATCAAGTGAAGATGTCAAGGAGAAAATGGAACAGCAATTGAAATTGCAACGCGCTGTTCACCAGCAGAGGAAACTGGTTGGCACTGGCGAGGTCGCCCGTTCTGTGACCCCAGGTACGTTATTGCTAATTATTTATCAACAATGAATCTAATCGTTCAACTTTATCAATTTAGTCAAGGGCCAAGTTATTGGCAGTAGGCGCGTGATTGTCAAAAACCCAGATGGCACAACGCGAATCATTCAGCAAGCGGTTACACAGGTTTCACGAGCTGCAGCTGCTAACACGGCGACAGCAACTGCTTCCCCTACTGTAGCAAGCACCCAGTCTACTCCATCCACACCTACACCACATAAGGTACAAATTATTAGGGGGCCAGACGGAAAGGTAAGCGTACGCGGATTAAACCCTGGGCAGCAGCTAGTTCAGATGCCGGACGGAAAACTACATGTGCTGACTACCACAACGTCATCAAATGCAGCAACGCCAGGTGAGTCTCATCACAACAAGTGCACAAAATATATGATTAGTAAAATGCATTAATATTTCCAGGAAACAAAATCAAGGTTCCCATTAAACCTACTTCTACTCCGTCGTCACCAGCAGTAACTTCAGTACAGTCTACTGCAAGTCCAGGAGCGCCAGTAATAAAACAAATTGCTGTTAAACATGTCACGAAAAATTCCGGGACTCCATCCATAGCGTCCTCTCCGCGCGTTGCTCTACCGCTTGCACAAATTAAGAACAAATTGTTGCTGGCCCAACAGCAGCAGCAAGCAGCATCCGCATCAGCAACAACTTCATCGCCGTCCGTTCAGAAAATAGTGTCAAAAGTGGTTAGCTCGAGTTCCTCTGGTCAAAACCTGCAACAAGTATTTGTACAATCTGGGTCAAAATTGGTGGTAGGCCAAAATTCGCAGGGACAAAAGGTTATTATATCTACTTCGTCTGCACAACAACAAGGAGCATCACCGGTTCAACAACAGCAGCTTGTTCAACCTCAAGTTATTTCACAACCAATTCAACAGTCACCGCAGCAGCAAATCTCAATGGCCCAAGTCGGAAGTCAGCCAACCCAAAAAGTAATTCAGCAAATCGTTAACACCAGCAACGTGCAACAGCAGATTGTAGTTGGCGGCCAACGGATCATTTTAAGCCCCGGTCAAACTATTGTTACGCAGAGGAACGTGCCCCAGAGTCAAGCATTGCAGATGGTTCAGCAGCAGATACAAACCCAGCAACAGCAGCAACAACAACATATTGTTCAGCCTCAGCAACAATTTGTTGTTCAATCGAACCAGATTGTTCAGTCCTCGCCAAGTACTCAAACAAAGTTGGTCAAACAGCTTGTGGTTCAACAACATTCGCAACCAACAATCGAAGAGAAAGCCCAGATCACCACTACTGATGTCAATGAATCAGGTACACAACAAGTACTGGTTCCCAATTCGACCTTAGCCCAGCAGTTGGCACAGGGCAAGTTACAGGTGGCCACTGTGAATGGCCAACAAGTCATTGTTAAGCCATTAGGGAACAACCAGGCGCAAATCGTAGCACATATAAAACACCAAGGCGATGGGAACGCTCACATCGTGACGAGTAATTCAGCCACTGCTGCGCAAGCAAGTCCACAAACCTCACCAGTCAAACAGCAGACTCTCCCATCACAAAGTCCCCAGCAAGTCGTTGTTCAGCAGCAGCAAATGTCTCAGCAGTCGACAACAAATTACGAAAGTGGCGTTACCTCAATCACTCAACAGCCCGTTGTTGCCCAGACTGTCCAGGGTCAAGTCCAACAGCAACCCATGAGTGTCGAGGAAAGTCTTCTTCAAAATCAGCCTCCTGGAACAGTCATTAAGTGTGTCACCGCTCAAGTATTGCAAACCGAGCATGGGCCACGTATAGTATTGCAAGGCCTTGTGGGCAACGATTTCACTGCACAACAATTGCAATTAGTACAAACACAGGTGAAACAGCAATTAATGAAGGGTAAGTAATCCGATAAAATGTGAAAAAATGTTTTTTTTAACGCCTTTGTCATTCTAATTTTAGCTCAAGAGTCAAATGGCAAGCTAGGTGTTCTGGGCCCAACAAAAATATACCTGGCGGTACAGCCGGAATCTGCAGTTCAATCACAACCCCCTCCACTTACCCCAGTTCACCAATCAGCTACGCATCAGCAAGTGAGTAGTTTTTAATTGTATTTATAATGTGAAAGGAGCAGTGGGAACTAGATCAGGACTGTAAGGGTTGCATTTGCTGATTCTCGACCGAAAAGCCAATTTGTTTCTTGTTTTATTCTACGTTTAAGTTAAGTTAATTTATTTATTAAACCAGAGAGGCATGTTGCTGCTTTACTTGCACTTTTTATACGTTTCGTTTGGTACCTTTAATTTTGTTTGTTTGTTGGAATTTATTAAACATTTTTTGAAATACTTTCCGAATCCTAATTTGTATACATTCCTAAGCTGTAAACTATAAAACTTCTATTTCCCAAGTACAGCAACAAAGACTTTCATTAAAATATGAACCAAGGCTTACTATTGCAACATAATTATTCAACAAGCAATCCTCCTTCCAGGGAGCTCGATATTTAGAATTAATTCAAATATGACATTTATTTTGTTTATTTAATTTAAATTATATAAAATTGTATTTAGCTTAAAAATGTGAATACCTTTTTAAATATAAGTAACTATTAGATAGTGAGTAGCAAGCACATTAAGAATATATACTAAACAATAATTCAGACTGTCACCTAATGTTTTAAGCCAAGGCAAAAGTATTAGAACTCTGCTGCGATTAGATTTTCTTGCCTGGGGACATTTGGGTTCTAAGTAATATATAGAATACTTGTAAAATGTAAAGCGCTTTTTGCAATAAAATCTATTATGCAACCACATTAATTGTGACAAGCTCTGTTTCTTTTCGTACGAATAATTTTTGAAAGCAGCCATGTAGATGAGTTATCCATTTTTGTAGCATTATTTATTAATGTGTAAAATGTTTAAAGCTTTCTGGATAACCAACGATTCCACATAAATGATATTAAAATACTTTTACACTCACTTCGAAAACAAATAAATTCCAATTTCATGTATTTTGTTGAAGAAAAAACAACATGTTTATACGACAAATAAATCATCTAAACATTTCGATTTTCCCACAAAGAAAAGGTTGTTTTGGTTTGTGGGTGTAAGACGATTTTTTGTGTATTGAAAATAAATATTCTGTGGAATGCTGATATCTGAATCTATTTTAATCTGAAAGGTTCGACATTTTAGAATATATTCTAATGTAAATAGACTTTATAACTATGGAAACAAAATTTAATGCAAATTAAATATTACAAGTGGGGTTAAACCCCCAATTAACTCCAATAGTAGAGCCACACAGTTATTTAAAGCAAGAAGAAATAAAAAAAGCAAATGATATACAATATTTATAATTAAAAAATATCGCAAAAAGGGATTACTAATAGATAAAACAAAGGAAAACCAAACGCTTCTCGTCAGGTTGTTAAAATTATGAGATATCATATTTAAAAATCTTGCTTTAAATATTTCAGCTCATATACACACACACACTCTAAAGAATCTGCAATTGTACGAATTTTAAGGCGTGTGTCTTGTGTTATAAAGGTGCATATATACCCTATCTATCTGTTAAAATTTGTTTAATATTCCTATTTCCATGACCTGTTAACCAAACAAGAAAGAGTTTAAACTTTTGTGAATTTTTGTTTCTGAATTAGTTGGATGATTATTTGCAAATTGGCCTTTGTGTTGACAAAAAGCGCATGCTTCATATATAAGTAAGAAGAGAACTCTTCAAACATAACTTATAAATCAGTGCAAGAAAAGAAAATACAGAGCTAGTAAACTAAAAATATTAATCAGAAATCAGTTGAATTCAAGTGCACTCATAGGATTAAAAGCAATTGGTCACAATTCCACTGGCCAAATTAAATTTCCCTTTTAAATTAAATATGAAAACGAATTGCTGAAGAGATTAACCCCACGCAGAGTTTTAGTTGGCTGACATATTTGAAGATATACAAATCAAAGGCAAGTTTCGTTCTCTAAAATGGCAAATTAAAGGAAGATTTCTCAATATAAGCGCATGTGCTAACTTCGCGATTGAGCTAGTTTTTATGATATCCTTTAAAAAACACAAAGGCTTTACCATTTTTATAATCATCTCATCTAAATCGAAATGAAGTTTACACTTGCCCAAAATTAAATTTCGCAATAACACGCCAAATATACACCTTACATATCCTTCCACCATTTACATAGCATTTTAGTCTATTTGCCACAGTTTGCATTATAATTATAAATCCAATTTAAATACTATCCTATCTTTGTAATAAAAATGTCAATACCTTAAAATAAAATTCATGCTTCCACTGCTTAAAAACGTTTAACCATGCCTTAATGTCGCGTGTCAACAACTACAACTCCTAACCACGTGTTAATCTCTTCGCCAACTACAACAACTACTCAACTATGATAACACACATTAAAAGGTTGCCTGGAGTAAATACTACAACTGATCTCTGATTAAAGTCAGGTAGGTGTGTCTGCTAACAAATTTTTGAACTCCTCGCATACGTTCATATTTATGCTATGAAACTCTTGATTCTGAATATAACTAAAATTTTTGGAAACAATTAGGTTGGTGGCGGCGTATCAATTGCTTGTATGGTGAATTCGAATTATGTTTTGCATGAAATGCAAGAAGAAGATTATGACGATGAAATTATCGTCGTCTGCAGTCCGCCGAATAAAATTATACCCACATCCCCAAATGACGTAACCCAAGGTAGAACTTTAATAAGTGATTTGCCGTGCCACACCAACATTAGTTGTAAGCCAATTCTGCAAGCAAAAAAATTAAAAATTTATAATCTAGTTCTAGTTGAAGATCAAGACAATAATGAGCAGCATCGCCTAAAATATGAAAGTGAAGACCTTAAACGATGTTCATTGCAGACCAACAACATAGACAACGATGCCAATGCGCTAACCACATCTTTCGAAGCCAATTCAACTATTAGAATTAATTCCATAAACAATGGCAATGAGCAGGAACATAGTAAATGTGCAGAAACAGAAAAACCTAATATTACAATTAACAAGCCCTTTGTGGGTACATCTACCCTATTAGAGGGCTTAGAGCATAACGAACCAGCGAATCATGCCGAATTCGATCCCACAGAAGCAGACCTAGAGAATAAACAAAGCGACAGCTTTGTTGTCACCAGCGGCTATATACAGGAGTGTAAGTATTACTAAGTGAATAGTTCGTGTTTTCAGAATAATAAGTGTCTTGCCTTTCAGCTATTTCAAATGCTCTAAAACAAGGTAATCTGAGTCCGGAACTTGAAGAAAAACTTGTTAGTATGCAGAAGCAACAAGAGAATGCCAATTCAAACTGTGCAGATGAGTGGGAGTTATGCCCCAGAGGGACTGCAAGCGAGGAAGCACTCACACCAAGTCGCCGCAGCTTTGTATCGCGTGATAATAACACCGATGACGTTGAATGGAAAATTCGGACTTCGTTAAGACGCCCAAATGCTATGACAACCAGTAATCAATTTAATCGCAATTTAAAGAAAAATCGCAGGCAGATTGAAGAAGTTGAAGAACTTCAAGAGGAAAAGCAATCACAGTTGGAACGCCATAAAGAGCTGCTTAAGAAAAGTATTTTGCGTAAGCGTTCATTACTAGAACGTAATTTACAAAACGAAATACACGAAGATGTTCAAACCAAAGTCCAGAGACATGTGCGCCCCTTAAGTGTCGCTTCACCGGAAGAACACAGTGAAAACGAAAGAAGTGAGCCAAATATAGACTTAAAAAGGTACGTGTTTAAATGTGATTTTCAATTTGACATAATTAACTAAACACTACAAAAATTCGCAGGGCAGAGGCAAATGCGCAGCACAGCAAACATGGTATTGGCAGACCAAAAAAATTGACAAGAAGAAAGGAAAAATTGTATTGCATTTGTCGTACTCCATATGATGACACAAAGTGAGATTTAATACATTTTAATGTAAGACAGCACTTTTTATAATGATATTTTATAATTATCAATTTAGGTTTTACGTGGGGTGTGACTTATGCAGCAATTGGTTCCATGGGGATTGTGTCAGTATTACCGAAGAAGCTTCGAAAAAACTATCGGAATTTATTTGCATTGATTGCAAAAAGGCGAGAGAAACTCAACAGCTATATTGTAGCTGTCGTCAACCATACGACGAGTCACAATTTTATATATGCTGCGATAAATGCCAGGATTGGTTCCATGGACGTTGCGTCGGAATACTTCAGAGCGAAGCAGAGTTTATTGATGAATATGTATGCCCTGAATGCCAGCGGAAAACAGATGCAAACGCCGCAAATATGAAAAAACTTTCCCCGACTGAAATTGAGGAGCTAAAGAACTTAATCAAACAAATACAGGTAATGACTTCTCACTAAACAATTTTTTTTAGTTTGACCTTTTAAATAAATATAATTGAAAGAAACAAGCTAACAATTGTAGTCAATGATGACCATCATTATAATTTTATCCGCAGCTTAAACAACTCTCGTTTGAAATATCTTTTTTATAGTTACACAAAAGTGCTTGGCCATTTATGGAACCGGTTGATCCGAAGGAAGCCCCTGACTATTACAAAGTGATTAAAGAGCCCATGGGTGAGTTACATAAAATGTTAATTTGAAATTTAAAAGTACAAAATTTACTTTTCTACTAGATCTCAAACGGATGGAAATCAAACTCGAATCAAACACCTACACCAAACTAGCAGAGTTTATTGGCGATATGACAAAAATATTTGACAACTGCCGTTACTATAACCCGAAGGAATCGTCTTTTTACAAATGTGCTGAGGCACTGGAGTCATACTTTGTGCAAAAAATTAAAAATTTTCGGGAAAATGTTTTTGGCCAAAGTAGATAAGAAACCCTAGCAAAGCCTTAAACTTAAGAAACATTACAATAGTTTGTAAATGACACATCTGAAAACTGGAAAACATGTTTCATTTTCGTATTTTTATTTTTCAATCAAATGTTACATATACATATTTGATAGATTAAAAGCTACTTATATTTCAATATATAAGAGATAATACATGTACATATTAACCGTATGAATATGAAGGACTATTATATGAGTTGTAATACAAGATATCTGTAATATAAAACAATATGCGAATAAATTTCAGTTTCCCCAGACATTTCAAAAATTAAAAGTATTTATAAGCCCTTTGTACAGAACATTAAAATGTAAATAAACACTATGCATTTGTTTTGATGTAATCCTTACTAAATGTCGAAGTCAAAATACTGCATTTTTTAGGGGCGGAAAGTAAGCTTAAACATTTTGTAACATACTTTTGGGCGGTCGTGGCGAAAATTTTGTCTGGCTTTTGTGCATTTTTGTGCCAAACTCGGCTCAAGATTTACCGTAATCTTCGACTTAAGCGTTTCAAGAGAAATTTCTCGATTTTTGATACCAGGCGCGCAGAAAGAGTAGCAGGTCGCCGCTGAAAACTCAAAGCTCGCTCACATAACGGTTCTTTTTCAAGATGGCTGCCCTTCGAGTCAAACTTTCATGGAAAACAACCGTTAGATTAGGACAAGCTTACTAGAGATGGGCAATCCACCGATAGACATGGAAATCCCATATATTCCCATGGGGCGACACATCTCTATTGAGAGCGAAAAAATTACGGTAGCCACCTTCTGATTTTTCTGTTCGCCTGGTAGCTGGTATACAGAAAACCCGCAAATCAGTGGAAAAAAATTAAAAAATGTAAAAAAAATGATTTTTTTAGTGAACCTTTTTGTGAAGAAAATGAAAAACAATGTAATGCTTTTATTTGTAGGACTCTCGGTGGAGAAAATTGATAAATATTGTTAATAATGCTTTTGATTTTGGACCTCTGTGTCTTCAAGTGGGTTTAATGCGTCCTACAGCAGCTCCAGACGGAATGTGCATATCGGTGATTGTATTCCTCGAAGCTGTTCAGCGCATTGGATCCCTCCAGCGCCCCTGGCAGGGAGGTGGCTCAGATCCTGACGCTGCCCCACCTGCAGCAGCACTCCGCATTGGTGTGCACCTTAAAGTTGTCGTTGTGCACCACCAATTGACTGGGGTACGGGACAAGATCCAAGCCAGATGCGCCTTCCTTGATGACATGGCAGGATTTTCATTTCACCTGCTCACCGTTCCCAAGCTGGGGCTGCAGGAGACTCCCCAGAGCGCGCACCGCATTGGTCCTGACTTTGTCAGCTTCGCGACAACTCTTCATGGCCACTTAGATGGGGCGTCCCAAGTCTGCTGTGGAAATCCTTTCGGTCTGATTGGGATTACCGGCCACTTTGCAGAGCTTACAGCGTCTGCAAAATAAAAAAGTGAAAGCATCAGTTTAATAGTAAATAGTTTAAAGAAAAACACGTGCTCCATTTCAGGTGGAGCCGCTGTTTGATGTACATAAGTGCCGATAGTCTCATTTAGACTTAAGTGGGGCCGAAAATTCTTGAGCCGAGACCTGCAGTTTGGGAGGCAATAGTCAAACGGATTGTGGCCAAACGGTGTGTAGACTCAAAAAATTGCTGCTCCTGCTTAAATGACCCGATCCTGATCCATAACTGTTGGTGAAGGCGACGTGCCTTCGCCATTTTGATACGATTGGCATAATGGGCTGGCTGCGTCCTTGCATTTGGGGGGAGAAATAGCTGCGTTTATCCTGGTTATCGTGCGTGCATTGCTCCTGGTGTTCCTGCTTGACGCAGTGGCATTGCTGCTGAAACCACGTGATGGTGCACTTTAGGTGGAGCAAGTGGTAACAGTTCTGACACGACCAGGTCGGTTGGTGCCTTCTTTGATGTAGCTGCCGATGGAGTCTCATCTGGACCTAGCTCAGCCAGAGCCGAGGCCTGCAGCTTTGCAGCGCAAAACTCAAATGGATTGTAGTTGGAGTTCCCGGCTCCGCTAGTGGATTAAGTCCAAAGTCACCGTCGCCGAGGAAGTATTTATTAATAATTGTTAATTGTTTTCTCTGAGCTTACTCACTGACATTTTCAAAATGGCTGCCCTTCCAGTCACGAGCCGACTCAACGGAAAACAACCGTTAGGTTTAATAGAGGTGGACAAACGTTTTGATACATTTTGGAAACATCGATTTTTGGCCTTCATTATCGATGTTTTTTAATTTAAAAATTTCTTGTATATTTAGTTATTTTATGTTTAAAAGTAAGCAAATTTTGCTACCCAATATTTATTTAAGTAAAATGTGCGTTGTATGTATGTGTGTCTGCACGTGTCCGCATTAATTGTGAACATGTCCAAATGCATAAGTCCTTAAGTATTGACTTATCGAATTAAATATTTCTAATGAAATTTTAATATTAATGAAATTTGCAATAGGCCACGTCATCGATAATGTTAATTAAATAATTGATCACTTCGGTATAATTCCCAACCAGTTCTAGCTAAAGATGTACGACCTAGGTGCTAGGTGGTCAAATATGCGAAAATAGCCGAAAAATTTATTTTTCTCAAAAGTGACGGGATCGTTAGTTTAGGTTGTTAGCTGTTCAAAACAGTCGTTCGTTTAGCTGTCGACCTTAATTTGTCCAAATTACGACTGTTACTTGCAAAATTAATGAAATTTACAATGGGCCACGTCATCGATAATGTCAATCTAAAAATATTCTCTCGGTGGGTACTTATAATTCCCAACTAGTTCTAGCTTAAAATTTATGACCTAGGTGCTATGGTAGCCGATAAACCAGTTTACCGGAAGTTGGTGTGGGTGTTTGTGGTTGTGAGATTCATAGATCGGGATGTCATCTGGATGGAACTGGACTCCAAGATGCAGTGCATCGAGATCCTCTTAGATATGGCCCTTAATTAGATATTTATTTATTGAATTAAATTTTTTTGATGTAAAAACTAATTAAATTTACAATGGGCCACGTCATCAATAATGACAATTGAAAATTGATCCCCGCAGTGGGTACTTATAATTTCCAACTAGTTCTAGGCTAAAAATATACGACCTAGGTGCTATGGTAACCGATAAACCAGTTGACCGGAAGTCGGTGTGGGTGTTTGTGGTTGTGAGATTCATAGATCGGGATGTCATCTGGATGGAACTGGACTCCAAGATGCAGTGCATCGAGATCCTCTCCAGATGTGCCCTTAATTAGATATTAATTTATTGAATTACATTTTTTTGATGTAAAAATTAGTTAAACTTACAATGGGCCACGTCATCAATAATGACAATCGAAAATTGATCCCCGCAGTGGGTACTTATAATTCCCAACTAGTTCTAGGCTAAAAATATACGACCTAGGTGCTATGGTAGCCGATAAACCAGTTTACCGGAAGTTGGTGTGGGTGTTTGTGGTTGTGAGATTCATAGATCGGGATGTCATCTGGATGGAACTGGACTCCAAGATGCAGTGCATCGAGATCCTCTTAGATATGGCCCTTAATTAGATATTTATTTATTGAATTAAATTTTTTTGATGTAAAAATTAATTAAATTTACAATGGGCCACGTCATCAATAATGACAATTGAAAATTGATCCCCGCAGTGGGTACTTATAATTCCCAACTAGTTCTAGGCTAAAAATATACGACCTAGGTGCTATGGTAACCGATAAACCAGTTGACCGGAAGTCGGTGTGGGTGTTTGTGGTTGTGAGATTCATAGATCGGGATGTCATCTGGATGGAACTGGACTCCAAGATGCAGTGCATCGAGATCCTCTTAGATATGGCCCTTAATTAGATATTTATTTATTGAATTAAATTTTTTTGATGTAAAAATTAATTAAATTTACAATGGGCCACGTCATCAATAATGACAATTGAAAATTGATCCCCGCAGTGGGTACTTATAACTCCCAACTAGTTCTAGGCTAAAAATATACGACCTAGGTGCTATGGTAACCGATAAACCAGTTGACCGGAAGTCGGTGTGGGTGTTTGTGGTTGTGAGATTCATAGATCGGGATGTCATCTGGATGGAACTGGACTCCAAGATGCAGTGCATCGAGATCCTCTCCAGATGTGCCCTTAATTAGATATTAATTTATTGAATTACATTTTTTTGATGTAAAAATTAATTAAATTTACAATGGGCCACGTCATCAATAATGACAATCGAAAATTGATCCCCGCAGTGGGTACTTATAATTCCCAACTAGTTCTAGGCTAAAAATATACGACCTAGGTGCTATGGTAGCCGATAAATCAGTTGACCGGAAGTCGGTGTGGGTGTTTGTGGTTGTGAGATTCATAGATCGGGATGTCATCTGGATGGAACTGGACTCCAAGATGCAGTGCATCGAGATCCTCTTAGATATGGCCCTTAATTAGATATTTATTTATTGAATTAAATTTTTTTGATGTAAAAATTAATTAAATTTACAATGGGCCACGTCATCAATAATGACAATTGAAAATTGATCCCCGCAGTGGGTACTTATAATTCCCAACTAGTTCTAGGCTAAAAATATACGACCTAGGTGCTATGGTAACCGATAAACCAGTTGACCGGAAGTCGGTGTGGGTGTTTGTGGTTGTGAGATTCATAGATCGGGATGTCATCTGGATGGAACTGGACTCCAAGATGCAGTGCATCGAGATCCTCTTAGATATGGCCCTTAATTAGATATTTATTTATTGAATTAAATTTTTTTGATGTAAAAATTAATTAAATTTACAATGGGCCACGTCATCAATAATGACAATCGAAAATTGATCCCCGCAGTGGGTACTTATAATTCCCAACTAGTTCTAGCTTAAAATTTATGACCTAGGAGCTATGGTAGCCGATAAATCGGTTGACCGGAAGTTGGTGTGGGTGTTGGTGGTTGTGAAGTGATTTTAGGAGATTCATAAATTGGATGGACTGGACTCCAAGATGCAGTGTATTGACCTCCTTACCAGGTATGCTCCTTAATTAGGTAAAAACCTCCAAAAACGTTTAGTTTTGCCTAAAATTACATATGTCCCACCCTAAAATATCAGTATTTTGGCCGAAACAATGGAAATAATGATCCAAAAACGGAGTGTCATACCTTGCTGAGCTCGTAATTGAATTGCCAAACGATTGGCATTCAAACCTGAAACTTTTAAATTTTGTAAATTTTTTGCAAAAAAATATGATGTAACCCCTTATCAAAAATTCGAAAATTGGTGAAAAATTTATTTTTCCCAAAAATGATGGGGATTGATAGCTTAGGTTGTTTGC